TATATCCTTCCCTCCTCGTCCAAGACAACCCCTCCACCTACCACAAATCCCTTCCCGCCCCCTCCAGCCGCTTTGGCCCCCACGCCTTCGCCTTCATATGGCCATCGGTATCCATCGCCTCCAAAGCCCGCTTTCCCTCCGCCAAATTCCTCTTACATTACCCCGCCCACAACGCCGGATACGCCATCACCAAGTTATTCAACATCGACGTCTCCAGCGTCAACGGCATCACCCCCAACGCCGCCGGGTATGGAGGACTGTACTGCACGCATTGTCTCAGCTTCATCGTCTCCAGGTATACCAAAACACGAGCCTGTGCCAGTACCACCGCCATCGAAGCACAAGATGTTCGCGTTCGCTTCGCCGGCTGTGTGGTGAAGGCGGCTCATTGAGTGCATTGTGGTTTTTGTTGCATTTCTCTTACTGCCACTTATACACTCATTTTTGCCCGTCTTGATGACGCCGCTAATATATACACCTTCATCGCTGTCGGTCACCATCAATCGGTCGCGATATGTTATTTACCAGGACTATCTATACCCTGCCGCATCATTACTTGGCCCAAGGTTGCTCCGGGACCGTGCTTCAACTACTGCATTATCATCATATGTTGTGTCAATAGCGCATTACAGTATTTCATTAGGCATATGTACAAGTATATTGAAGAATCAAAAATGCCAATCACTGCAATATCGGAATGAATGCGAGACTGATTAATTGATGAGAAATGAGAGTATTTGATTGCCTGCCTCGAGGTACCAAGCGACAAGCGACGTATCGCTTCTACGCATAGATAGTTCTCTTACACGCACCGAGTCGTACGACGTGCCAGCTGACTTCTTGCGATGATTGATTTCGTTATACTGCCAGCAGGCAAACGTTTACTAAAACTCCGCCGGAACCGATACCAGTTCAGGACGTTACAGCTAGACAAGCAGCAGTGATCTACATGGGTTTGTTGTACGTGCTGTCCCTTGTTCAACGTGAACTATAACCATAGCACAAAGAGCCCTTTGAATTCAAAGCGCCACATCAGATCCCACCAAACCATGTTTGGTCGGTACAAACCGACTGCCTTATCTGAACCCGAGCGCTAGGAGTAGTATGCAAAGTTCTATCAGATCTTTCCGATGGAAAAACGTTCATATGCCAGGGGGCTGTACACGTTTTTTTTGGGGGATGGTGTTGGTACCTCTTCTCTTTCTCCCGCCCTTTATGGTAAGCAACTCGCTCGCGATCCGTATCTTTGCTGACCTGGAGTTGGGGTGCTATCTCCGGCGTTAAGCCTCATTAAATTTTTCAGTGTTGCTGCGTCGCTGCGGTCTCTCTCCATTATGCCAAGATATTGCAATTTTTTTAAAGTGGCGTGGACAGCGAGTACTCATATAACAGCGAGTCACTAGGAACGCAGACATTTATCAACTGCTCGGCGATCCTGACAGTGCTTATCTCACAATTGTCAGCAGGGTGCCGCGCGTGTGCCCATCAAATTATCCATGCGAGATGGACGCTGACATGAGCCTTTGACACATGCAGCTTGGCTAATCGGCCCATAAGAATTCATTAAAGCTTCTTGTCTAGCCGAGATAAGTAGCAGAAGTGGCTGCTTACGGCTCATGAAGGCCTCTAACGGTCAACCTTTGGTTCTAAGATTCCAGACCCGTGCCTCCATAACAGCATCGTATGGCAGGCGTACCCATTCCTACTACCATCCAGTCCAAGTCGATGCGGCTGCGCTTTGACCAGGCGAGATCTTGTAGATCGCAAGGCTAATCTTGACACAAAAGAAAGAACAATCGAACGCGTTTTCATTGTATCTTGGTCCTCAAAAACCAGGGGCCGATACATGCTGTAGCCTCATGTCATCGTGGTTTGCTGATTTGGTAACCCTTGGTGCGGCCTTCTTCACAGGGTGGCGTGCATGCCGACAATGTGAGTTCATTATTTAACAGAGTCACTCGTACAAATGGTAAAGTTAAGTTTCGAGCTTATAGATCATATTGATATTGCTGTCGAAGGGGCGCATTACACGAGTATCCCGTCCTACAGCTATGCTATGCGATCTTCTGTATCCTCTTACAGTTTCATGCCCAACAGACACGAGGTCTCGGTGCACAGAGTACGACACGGCGTTCATTGCTTTGCTTGGAAGGTCGCGATGCATAGACTGTTTTGGCTGTCGTCTAGTACTTCCCTAAACTGCCGCAGCCACCTTGACAATCAAGATAGTGGATGCGTTTTCCATTAGGAGCGTACAGTTGCGGTCTGCAATGTAAGCATCTCACCATTTCTCCGCGGCCTTCTTGTTATTGTTGCATTTTAAGCCGAATATGATGGCGCCAGATCGAAGCATCACCTATTTGAAGTCCTTCGTCGTGCCGTGGCTTGCATGCCAATCATGATTCTGTGCGCACCGGAGATCTATGCACACCGGAGCTTAACGATAGCGCACTGGACCATAATGCACTGGATAACGCACTGGCCAAGTCCCGCCGTGGAGGGTGTTACTATCCAGAGAACTGATGTATCGGCGATATCGCACACTGCTGTGTTGGCATAATGTACTGGTCAAAAACGCTGTAATATCACTGGCTGCGGATGGTGTATTAGCCATCGAATTGGTGATCATGCACTGCTGTGTGCCAGCCGCCGTCGCTGGGAGTGATGTGCCAAACCCATCAGCATTCACAGAATCATGTTTTCAAGCCGTTGACTGTCACTATTTTCGATCCTCGACTCTCGTTCTCTGGCAACTGATGCAATGCTGCGTTGATGGAGTGTGGGGAATTTGCTCCATGATGTTCTGTGAACGAGTATAGGCATGTACAGGTTTCGGCAGCAAACTGTCTGGGTGTGTCTTTTCTTTCACTTGCAGGGTCCAGTCGATATTCTTTGACATGCTCTTGCTCCACTTTCATACACGGGTCGCTGCTGGTGAGAACAGAGGCTTTTTGGCTGAGTTCTATGCCCTATCTTTCGCTCCACCTCGCAAGTCCAGTACATCACACTGGATATCACATATCCCCTATCTCGCGAATGCAGAAGTGTTCGAGAGTCGAGACAGGATTGATATCGGACCTCTAGCACCGGATAACCCTAGACTCGAAGTTCCTCTTTTGAAAATCATCCGATCTGTCTGTCTACCCTTCCAGTCCTGCACCCTTTATTATCACACGTTTGCATCGCGTTGGGAAGCACCCACTCGCCGTCACTAGTACCATAAATTGTCTACATCATGATTGGCAGGGGCGCATATGCGTCACGCAGGCTCGGCATCACCCTCTTTCGATGTCATCTCTGACATACTGACACCAGCTGACTTGTAATGATACTGCACCTTCCCCACAATCCGTCACTCTGAGGCTGTTTCGACTTTTGGGGGTTTGTTATCAAGGGTCGATCTTCATTAACGCCTACATGTCGGTGCCACGTTCTGTTCAGAACTTTCAAGATGTGCAATAGACGCCCATGATTGCGCTAGTACTCGACTTGGAAGGCTTGGAGACCGCAAACAGTACTTGAACCAGAGAATGTATGTCATTATACCTGTCATATGCTGGATTTGATCATCCTAGGGCGTTTCCCTAAATACCTCGATCGGCTGGAACTGGGAGTTAGTTGTCGCGGTACCTCGTGACCATCGTTTCAGGTGTCTTTATATGTTCAAGCTTCTTTGCATCATTCTGCGAGTTCCGTGAGTAACATGTAGGCTTTGGCTCATGACTACAGGACTACATATCCGTCGTAGGACTGTTATCTGATCACTGATGCATCTGTCTCTGGTCATGTTTCTTCGAAACTCTTATAGAAGACGATCGCATCAACATATTCCTCGCCCTCCCCGTCCATCCGCTTCAGACGACCAGCCTTGGGTATAAGTCCAGCTTTCGTGAAGTTCAGTGCCTCCCACAACCTGCAATCGAAGTGATCAGCAAAAACACGGATCAACCAAGATCGTCAAAGCTCACTTAACACTGGCGACGTTATTATTATACACTAGGTTAAACACGCTTGCCTTGTATCCCAACGCTGGTGCATAGTGCAGATATGATTTAGCGAGGATACGCCCATAACCACTGCCACGTTGAGACGGGGGGACCATAAATCCTGCATTACAGATCTACAGTGGAAATGATATGTCAGCGGACGAGCCTAGTTCATCTCAAATGACATGCAAGCCGAAGCCGAGCCGGTGAATCCCTTGCCCAACTAGAACAAAAACTCACATGAGAAGATCGCCCAGGGTAGTTGGGTTTTACCTGTCATCATCGATTTCCACAGAGTTCGACAGTGTGTGAGATTAGGGGTGACACGATTGTTAGGCTAGGGATCGCGACTGACGTAGTAAAACCCTGCGACACATTCCTCCCATGTCCGCCCGTTTCTTGCAACATCTAAACTTTGCTCAATCTCCCGCACCCCGCGCACTTCAAGTTCGCTCTTAATCGCGGGAGGATCTCCTTTGCCAGCGATTCCGACGAGTACGTCTCCGCCGAAGAAGTATGCTCCGAAGGCTGCGGGATCGCTGATGTCTTCTTGTGGATACGTTAAGCCTTTGTCGACTTCATTCGCAAAGGTGGAGTAGAGGTAGTTGAATAGACCAGTTTGGACGCGCTCCACCGCGGCCCGATCGATGTGGTGTATGGTCACGAAAGATGGGGTCCCGAGATCTGGCTCTACTCGGGGACTATCCCATAACGTAGTGGGCAAATACGATGTCCTTTGTGGTCTGTTGATAACCCCGTAAGCAGACATGGCATAGGTATACTGTAAAGTTTGTTCGGACGGAAGCAACCAGGAACTGGACTGGCCTTAAGCTTCATATCTATGACTGGAGCCATCAGCTTCTAGAAGAGGTGAGAAAAGGCGCTGCACTTTCGGATCTTGCTTGGGGGTCAGGCTCCCAAAAACTAAGAGTCCCAGCTAACTATGCCTGAAGGAGATAATACACTCAGCCTCGTCGCCCTTGTGGGTAAGATAAAGTCAGAGCGCAGTTCATGCGCAGTCCTCTGGAAAGCTCATGTATTCTAGCGTTATTTCTAAAAATTACTGACATGTAAGAGCTCTCTATCATTACCAATCGTAACCGATAGTCCCTTCCCTATCCACGACGGTAGTAGTCGCTCTGTTTCCGCTCCTTCACCGCCTGAAAATCCTTTTGTCACTCCGTCACCAAAAAAGACATATCCGGGAATATAGCGGTCTACGAAGCTGCTCATAATGTTATCAGCAGTACATGAGAGGAAAAGAAGCACTCACGTCTTGACTTGGTCATCGGTCATGCCTTTTCCGCCATTCTTAGTTTTCATATTGTGTTCCTGTTGTAATCTCCACTGATATATGATAGATAGCTGTGCAGACGAAGGCCCCTTTATCTTCAAAAGAGTGAGTCGCATGCCATGGGTGCGTCGAGAGCGAGGTGTCTACCTGTATGAAAGCATCAAGTGCACTCCACCACTCCACGTATCGCTTTAATTGCTCGTTGACGGCCAGTACGTGATCCACGGACACGAAGGCTTTCATGTCAAACATATCGGGCTCAAGAGTCGGAACAGGTTCTTTCAACCTTTCTTCGACGAGCTCTTTACTCGTAGGGAAAAATCCCACACACCATCCCTCGAGCACAACTACGTCCACAGGCCCTTTCACCGTCTCGCCATCAGATATGCGGTCCCCCTGTCCATTAAATAGACTCTTATCGAAGATAGGGATGTCCACAGTCCCTGCATGAACTTCATTGATCTTTTTGAGGTTTCTAAAGACCGAAGTACCGAGAGGCACATCGTGTGTTCCTGGCTGTCCTCTTCCCTGAAAGAGGATATTGTGGGGATTGCTTTCCGCAAGACTTTGGAGTCCAGAATGTGGAAGATAGAGATCGTCGATGGAAAGTACGGTAACAGCGAGGGAGTGTGGTGGATTGGCGAGGTGGGCACGGAGGCGGGAAGTTAGGAAAGTCTTTCCACTGCCTTGTGGACCTTGAACGCCAACAAATAAGGGGGTTGGTCGTAGACTAGGTGGACATCGTGATCGATGTTCTTGCAATTGGTTGAGAACGTGTTGGGTCATGTGCTGCACGGCAGGCAGATGAGTTTCTTCGTTCATGATGTGCAATGCTCGCAGGTTCATAGCGCCGAGTAAACGTATCGGTAGCAGCCTCACAGAATGCGGTGGACTGCAGGAGCGTTCAGGCCATGAGACCGGTCACATGAACACGCTAGGAATTAGTATGGATTAGTATCTCACCGTCTATTCTGAAGGACCAAACCTCTCGTGCTACTGTAGATGCAGACGCTCGCAGCGCTTGTCACAACCGTGGGAATCAGTTCATGTGCATCGCTCATACTCTAAGACGAATTTCAGCCGAAAGTTATCAACTAGATAGCTCACCAGCCATATATTTCAAACTGTCAAGTAACAGTGCCAGGAATAACAAGCAGATTACGAGCGCCGTAAGTCCATACCGTATCCTAACGCCGCCTCGGAAAACTTTGCGGACATCAAAAATCATGGGAATGGTACAGCAATAAACATAGTCGTGCATTATGATCCAAAATCTATAGGTGAAGAAAATGTTCCGTATGACAAGAAGCAGTAAATAGTGTCTACTTGCTCCCACCGTAACGTGCCTTGCGCCCTATGTCGAACGGAATGTACTTGTACTTGATCATGTGCCTGGCAAAAACGTTTCAATTACGACCACAATTCTGGGATATAGGAACGCACTGAATTTGCCGACGCATTGTCAATGCGAAGAGAACGCAAAAGTAGACCACGAGGATCGGCCAGTAGACTGGTACATCAAAGACCTCTGACACGGTACAGAAGAGTGATACAAGAGTGGCCCTTGTTGCACTTAACCTGTGGAAATAGTAAATGGTCAGTGCCAAGAAGGGGAGCAATACAACCAGCGGTCGCACCAAAATTGCCATTCAGGAAGTCTTCTCACAAAAGGTCTAAACTCATCATCTCGCTGAGAGGGAAGCACAGGCACACTTTGATCGCCGCCCTCTTCAATCTCATCCGCAAGAAGATCATCTTCAAGTGAAGGGTCGAACTTGGGCTGCAGGAATGCAAGAAGTAAATTCAAAAGATAAATAGCCAAGCCGTCTGTTATAAAGCTCCGTCAGATATACTTCAAGCCAAAAGGACGAGTAGACGCACAGCAGACTGCACATCCATTCAAGTGCCACAGACATAACTGGTGAGCTAGAGATCATGTATACAAAGTAAATATACGAACCAATGTACCACTGTTGACACGTAGCTAGTCAGTTTCATCCTAAGCACAGAATAAGTTGGTATTTACCCCCTGGGACAGCACAATCCTAAGCATGAAGAGCGCCAGTAGAAATAAAGTCGACAACCATCGCTGAAGAACGTGAGGAGTCCATCGGTCAAGTGTTTGTTGATATTGGCGCTGGAACTTCGAGAATGATGCTTGTGCGGAGTGGAAAGGGGTTGTACCAGGTTCATCCGAAGACATCATCTTAACAGAAATCGTGACGATGGTAAAGGACCGAAGACCGAGAATTGAATGACTGTCAATGAATTTTTGTTAGCTTGTCGGTGCAAGCAGTGACGATGTCGAATTTGCCGCAGAAGACATTTTTAAGCGGCGAATGAATTCCATATCAGGCTTAGTCTGTTTTATTGTTTTGTTTTTTTGATATGAAACGATTGAATGATAGATTGCACACTCATATGAGTCCTAGTAGCATCATGGAAAGTTGGTAGTGAAACAGGATGATCGTGATATAAGAACTTGTAACATTAATAGCTGTCTTTGGAACCCCTGTGTTATACCCGGCAGCCTAAAAGATAAACGGCACAACAGCTTTCCTCTCCTTGGGGTACTCGGGGAAATTCTTGTGATACCATTGATGGCCCCTGTATGCCCGAGAAATCATGAACCAAACTTCTGCCCAGAAGAACAACCAAGGGGGCTGGACCGTTCTCATCGTCTCTGTAAGCGATATGAAAGTAGGCAATGGTGCAGCGGCTAATGCATAACCAGACCATTCTAACCACTCGCAAAAATAGTTTGGATATGAGATATATCGGTAGAGGTAGCCATGGGGGATGGCATAGTGTTCCTTTCCGAGTTTGTTCTCGTTGCGTTTGCCTTTCGCTTTAGATTTACGGCGGATATTGAGAAGTACTTCATCGTGTAAAATGTTGCCCATAAAGCCAAACGCCCAGAGTATTGTTCCAGCCCAGAAGGATGGGCGAGAGAAGGCCCCCGCCAGAAATGCAGATGCAGTGGGAGATGCAAGGTAGGTACCCATCAGAGCACCATTCACAATGTTGAATATAATAGCGAAGAGGGGCATAGCGATGTGCGACTTCGAGCGAGATGGTGTTCGCAGAGGGGAAATTATTGCACGGTTCAGGTAATGGATAATGAACAGGCTAGTGAGGATGACCTGGGGGGTGGACATCGCAGACAATGATGCCGCCCAGGGCCCGCGGTATAGTACGGTGATGAAGCTGATGGGAGAGAATAACTCCATAATAATCCAGGACTTGATTCCATCCAAAACGAAGATGCTGTCATTGGATGGAGCAAATCTTCCGAACGGGGCATCGATGAAAAATTGAAGTGGACCAAAGATGGGAGGTATGAGGAAGAACCATTTTCTTGCCGCTGAATTCGAGTTAGTATGTTCAATATACCATGGTGTTGAGACCACTTACTATCATATAAGAATTCGGACTGCATGTCGTCGCAAGGTAAGTCAATGGAGGGAACCTTTGAAAGCGTGATACAATGCTGAGTCAGCATTCTCCCTTCGCACCTAACACAGTACTACTGATAGGTTCATTGGCTATTGTCCTTCCAAGGCGATGTCAACTAATGGCTAAGTTGCATCTTAAACGCACTCCCGCTGAGGAGGCCGAACGGGCTCTCCGCAAGGCTCGAAAAGCCGCAAAGACAGCAAGGAAACAGTCACATCTGTCGGAGGAAACAGGCCAGCATGGAGAATCTAGCTCCAAAAGGAGACGCAGAGGAGAAGCCATTGATTCTGATCTTGACGAAGAGGTTTATGGCCCTCCACCTCCCCCGTCGCGGTCATCCGCACACAAACCTGATTATGACACCATTCTTTCTGAGTTGGAGGACGCTCGCTTCAGAGAGAAAATGTGGGATGCTTTACGGGATGATGAACGGCTGGATGGTATAGACGCTAGATTTAACGATTATGCCCATGTCCCCGATAGATGGCGGGCGAACGCAGCCAGCGGTGGAAGCCCTGAGGACCAAACGGATATGGATCCGCGGTTTATGGACGATGACACTTACACCGAGTGGATTCGAGCAGGGATGTGGAGGTTTGTTTCTCAGCTGCAAGTAGTTCCCTGCAGTTGTATTGAGTGTCCACGTAACAGGCGAAAAAATGCGCGCCAATACGAAGAAGAAGCACGCATGAAGGCGGAAAAGACAGCTCGTAGCGCTAGGAAGAAGGAAATGAAAGCAGAGGCGACCAGACTCGAAAAGGTTGCGGAAGAGCGAAGAAAACAGAAGAAAAGAGAAAAGGAGAGCCAACGAGAGGAGAACGCTCGAGCAGAGTACGACAGAAAGTGGAAGGATCTCTTGGATCCCAATGCTCGGCATGGCTCTCCCCTTTTCTTCGGAGACATACCATGGCCACTATTTGTACCCATGATGCACTCAGATACCGTTCATTCGGACTCATCCTCAATTACGTTGGAACACTTCACGACAACAGCAATATCTGCATTCCTGATACCGATTTCTACAATCTCTGCGCTCGCTCAGGACGTCGGTGTTTCTCTCCCCACTCATGATCGTGACAAGAAGGAGAAGAAAGAGAAATTACGGGAGACGATGCTACGGTTTCATCCAGATAAGTTTGAAGGACGGGTCATGCGGAAGGTCATCGAAACAGACAAAGATAGAGTAAGGGAGGCTGTGGGTCAGGTGGCTCGAGTTCTCAACACTCTCATGGAGGAATAGATCGATGGTATAGTCCGTCACTCCGGTTCTTCAATTCGAAGATGATATCTACCAATCACCAATCGTAAGTTGATAACTTTCAGGTTTTGATACACTTTGACTTAACAAGGTCTTTCGACACTTTTCGAGCAAGTATCACACTTAGTTTCTACTCGATGTGAATTCACCAAACACGTAGAACGACGGCGAGGGTCCGTTCGTGAGGGATGCTCTTGGCTATCTTGACTCAAGTGCTGAACTACGTCCTAGGTATACATGTTGCTTTACACTCATGGGTATCCTCTTAGTGCAATACGATACGTTACCCTTATCAAATACACCTGTGCTCCTACCTGAAACTAGAAAATATCAGTCATCTACTTCAGCCGATTCCCAAAAGACCGAATGTAGACAAAAGTTCTAGGTATTGTGCCTATATTACTGCGCATTGACATCGTGCTGACCCGGAGAAGTGTCTGTGATCTGGCTGCTGGAAACGATCATCAAAGTCTTTCCGTTCCATGGTTTTTGGGCTGGTGCTACTCAGCACAGATCTAACCTATCTTGGGTTGTTGCAGTCAGCATTGGTTGGCAACAGTCAGTTCCTGACCCTCTGTGGTCATATATATACTGCCCTGGCGCCACTTACTGGACTTGGTGAGTGATACAAATGGTTCAGTAGAGGCGGAACGTTGATTATGGTAGTCTTGTCACTAACCCACGGTTTCTTCTACGGGCTGTGAGGAGATCAATGATCGTCCCTGTGTTGGTTATTATGGTGAGTGCGCTGATTGTTTGATGCTGATACAAAGTTCATTTCACAGCTTTTGTTGGTGCAGTTTGCAATGGTGACTTACGGGGGTGCAGTGGGAAAGTTTCGTCTCTCCCATGTGCTCGTCCTGAAACGACTCCAGTATGGCTTGGTTCCTGACACAGATGTTGACCACCACATGGCATTTGAAGTCCCAGTGAGTTGTATTGCATGTGGCGTAGGCATAACTGCTTCAACGCAAACCAACTAGGTCTGGCTAGTCGGCAGCCTTGTGTGCGACTCAGTCATGACCGTGTACATGACGCTCAGTGTATATAAGATACATTGACTTCTACCATTTGATCATGCTCATTCTAATCACAGCTCATGCAATGCAATGAAAAATCGAGTTTTAAAGCGCACAATTCATTGTTCGTGAAGCTTGTCAAATTGACCATCGAGACTGGGCTAGTACCTACGACCGCTGCGCTCATAGAGCTGGTGCTTGCCGTTACACTTCGAGTAACGATATACCATATTGCATTGTAAGTTGCGACCCTGTTTTGAGTCACCTCTGTTTACCAATAGCTTGGATTTTATATCATTTCAAAGTCGGACGTGACTTGGTCTTACCTTCGGTCTACCGATGAATCCAGCACTAACACGATTAGCTATACATTCGAGTGCTCGTTCAAGAAGTGTGACGCCCTTGAGACATTCTGCCAATGTGCACCCCAAGGTTGAGACCGCGATAGAGATGGATCTGTACCACCCGATAAGTTATTTCCTCACCACGGAATGACTGACTCGTTATCTTGATACAAGGATGAAAAAGAATTTGTATAAGCTATCTGTACTGATATATTCATGCAAACATAGACTACTAACTAAAGAGTTATAGCGTAAACAAGTGTGAAGAATGACAACCTCCCCGTAGCGTCGTAAGACCCTTTCCATTGTGTCCGACCTTTACCCGCCTGTGGGGAAGCTTCGGACAGTCAGATGCAATGTATGTCGCCGCGATTAATACGATGGCAGCTGCAGTTAAAGCCCTGAAAAAGTAACCATGAATCAGATGCTACCGAAAAAATAACGAAAAAAGGCAGTACCACTGAAGGGACACATAGAGTGGAAATGCTGCAAAAGCACTGGCCCTAGTAGAATTCCCAGTCTGGGTGACAATAACGAAAACCTTTATCAAACAACATGGTTGTGCGATTCGGATTGGATGTTATCAATTCGAGTCGCACAACCTTGCTTTTCATCGAAACATGTGCCACGATATGGAACTGCAGGGATTGTATTATATATCAGTCTTCCCGGGGTGATGCGTTCATGAATCATGAGGATCTAGAGGGAAGCGTTCGCTGACTTGCTTGATGGCCATCACAGACCGAATCGCAAGGTAGCATCGCAAATATGATATCGCAATCAACCCCGACAAAAAATCACTAGTAACTCACCGATGTCCGGATTTTCAACTTGATTTGGACCCCAAACCAGACGTAACCAGGGAAACATGGTCCAAATCGCAAACCGAGACTTTTCCGAGTGGAGCATGGGCGGTAGTAGGGCGTCGTGGTGCTTACACCAGTCGGTCCGTGGAGACAGTTTGATGTAGTGGGAGTATAACAAAAATGAACCAGGGTTCATAGCTGCTTTGATAGAGGGTCCATAAGCCCTCAGGCCTCGTGCCGCATCTATTCTTCCAGTACCTCAGTACTATGATAGAACGTGTAAATCTAAAAGTTGCATGCACTGGTCACAGCAATGTGACAGACGGCCTTAAAGGGTTGTTAATGTGGTCGTCGGCCAGGTTGTAGCGAACCCAAGGAACAATCTCACAAGTCACGTCTGCTTCGTTACACGATACCACCACGACCTTGCGGCGTCTTTGCAAGTGCAGTAGAAACAAATAGTGGAGCACCCAATCCTTGTGTTTTGTCTTAAAAAAGGTTCATCCGGAACAATAGCATTAACACCGGCACCTATCTAGCGTCACTACCTTCTTCTCCACTCCTGAACTGACCGACCCTTGACATTCTTTCTCGATAGCTGAGTCGTTCAACTCTTTTCACTCTCTACCATGGCCGACATTGGTGAAATTATCAATGAAAATGCCTCCAGGACGATCACGCCAGCTGCAGTTGGCTCTCAGGTAGCTTTGATGTCAATCATTTCCGTAAGTTATATAGATTTTCTCTCAGAATCCTGCTCACTCCTTCCAGACCCTTACAATCGTGGTATTCAACGTATTGCGACCTAAGAACAAGGTACGTCTCTTCACCGTATCACATAGCTATATCCTACATACATGCTATACAGGTCATCTATGAACCCAAAGTCAAGTATCACGTCGGTGACAAGCAGCCGCCACGAATATCTGACTCCCTTTTGGGATGGCTGCCTCCTCTCATACGCACGAAGGAACCCGAGCTTGTTGACAAGCTTGGATTGGATGCCGTCACCTTTCTCAGATTCACTCGCATGACACGATCACTTTACTCGGCCATCGCTTTTACATGTTGCGCCATTCTTATCCCAATTAATGTATCCTACAACCTCAAGAACGTCCCTTCGACGGAACGGGATGTCCTTTCCATTTTGACCATCCGGGATGTGAAGGGTTCTTTCCTCTTTGCACATGTCGTGGTCTCGTACGTGATCTCAGCGCTCGTCATGGTTTTCGTATGGCGGCACTGGAAAGAGATGCTTCGTCTTCGGCAGCAATGGTTTCGCTCTCCCGAATATATGCAATCCTTTTATGCGCGGACACTTGCGGTCATGCATGTACCCAAGAAATACCAATCTGACGAGGGCATCCATGCCATCTTCGCAAGTGTTCAAGTCCCATACCCTACTACCTCGGTGCACATTGGTCGTAAAGTCGGACGGCTACCCGAGCTTATTGAATACCATAACACTGCCGTTCGCGAACTCGAGCAGGTTCTCGTGACATACCTCAAGGGCGGCAAAATAGCGAAAGAGCGGCCCACAATTCGGATAGGTGGATTCATGGGCATGGGTGGTACCAAAAAGGATGCTATAGACTTCTATACGTATGTACCTATACTCTATTTGTTGCGATATCGCTAACAATAAGCAGCGCAAAGCTGAGACGCACGGAGCAAGCAATCGAGGATTACCGTCAGCAGATTGATAGCCGAAAAGCAGAGAACTACGGTTTTGCATCTATGGCGGCGGTTCCGTATGCTCACATTGTTGCTACCTTACTTCGAAAGAAGCACCCGAAAGGTACCGACATCGCTCTTGCGCCGAACCCCAAAGACATTGTGTGGTATTTAAACACTGACTTATGGATATATACTGAATTTTCCGTAGATATGGGTAAATTTCAACAAGTCAACTTCCGAGCTCGTCGGCAATAAATTCGTCGGTTCTTTGTTCTTGGTGCTATTTTGTTTCTTCAACACTATCCCCCTGTTCATCATCTCTATCTTGGCAAACTTGAGCTCGGTATGATTGTTGCGTTTTGTTGGGTATTTGGTCAATTGAAAGATTCCTCTACAGATATCTGCCTACGTGGGTTTCCTCTCAACGTGGGCGATTGCATCTCCAGGATCATTTGCTTTTGTTTCTGGTGTCTCCCCTCCTGCCATTTCAGCTCTTTTCGGGTTTTTCCTCCCCATCGTCATGCGTTGGTTAAGTAAATTTCAAGGTGCCCTTACTCACAGCCGGTAAACTCATTTTGTCGTTGGTTGTTTATCGTTACCTGATTCTGATGGATTTATGGCAGACTTGACCGTGCTGTCGTTGCACGCTACTTTGCTTTCCTTGTTATCTCCCAGTTGATCATTTTTACACTCATTGGCGTTGGATTCAGTCAGAAATCATTCTTGCCGTCATTCATTCTAGAATGCTAATGTCCATTCTGTAGTTGCTGCGGAACAGATTGTAACGGAGATCGGTCACCACACCAGTTTCCAGGATATCATCAACAACCTGCATAGTGCGTCAGCACGTCATATATACATCATGGGTCCTATTCAGTTTTTATAGCCTTGCCGAGTACGATCAACCAAACGTATATAAATCAGTCGTCGTACTGGTTGACATACTTCCCGTGAGCTTGTGTATATGTGCTTTACATACGGATATGCTTACGCATGTCATCGTGATATCAGACTCCGTGGCTTCTTGGTTCTCTTCGATCTGGCACAGATCCTGAATCTTCTCTGGACGTCGTTTAAGACTCGGTTTGTTTCTTATTATTATTGTCGTTGTCGCACGCGCTGACACAAGATTTCAGCGTCTTTGGTCGCACACCCCGTGATATTAGAGAGTGGACACAGCCGCCAGAATTCGAGTATGCTATTTACTAGTACGTGCCTCATTTCGACACCTCCCTTTTGATGCCAATATCTTCACCAATAGCGCGAATACCGTGAGTTAAGCTCGGTGATCTGATCTGACGCCCATTCACATTCCGCAGCTCTTCATGGCCACCGTTGCGCTAGTCTTTGCTCCTTTGGCGCCTTTGGTCGCACTTGCCGGTGCTATTGTGTTCTGGATAGGTTCATGGGTGTACAAGTATCAACTTATGTTTGTCTTCATCACGAAGGTTGAGTCGGGAGGAGTGGGTTATTTGTTTCCAACTTGTTTTTCGAGTTGCTAACCCTGGTGCAGCGTCTCTGGAACATGATTGTTAACCGGTTGCTCGTCTCTGTGATTCTCATGCAACTGTTGATGGCTCTGAGTAAGTCATTTTAACCATCAAAGGCTGCGACTGCTGACTTACCATATTCCAGCCATCGGCCTCCAATACGGATTCAAGTCCTTCATGTGGCTCACCACCGTCCCTCCAATCCTGTTCATCATCATATTCAAGTTTCAGCTTGACCGAACTTTCTACAAGAATTTCCTGTACTACATACCTTCGGAGACTGAGCTTCGAGAAGCAAAGGTACACTCCTCAACATCAGATGTTTCTGGAAGAGGGTTGGAGAAGCGCTTCGGTCACCCTGCGCTTCACGCAGATCTGTTTACTCCGATGCTTCATGCAAGGATGATGCCACTCCTTGGGGACGTCTACAAGGGAAAGATTGGCAGTGACAAGGCCAAGCTGAATGAATATGGTGGTCAGAAATTGGATGCTCAAGTCATTGAGGGTGGCCTGAGGATTGCCGCTATCGAACAGGTGAATATTTTTGGTCTGGTCTGTGTCTCGAAACGAAATACTGAACATTCTAATTTAGCGCGATTTGGAGTATGATCCTGCCCTTTACCGGCGCGATCGAGGCGAACTGGACTGGGATCAACGGTCCATTGCATCGGCTGCGATCTTTGGCAATGCTAGAGGCGGTGACAACGCTTCGCTTTACCACCAGAAGGCCCATCAATATGCGGGTTCAATTAGTGGAGGTCGTGCATCACCCGCGCCACCTGCTTTCGACCGTTACCTCGCCCAGGGTCCATCGCAATCTCTAAATGATATAGAACTAGCGCGCATGAACCAGAGTGTGGATCAGTTACCTCTTCTGACCGATCATCAGTCATACGGATACTTCGATGCCCGGCAGCAACCGCCGCCGTCTCCACTTCATGAGTACAACTCTCCGGATCGGATGACCCCGCCATCTAGATATGGGTCGCCTGCACCAATGGCAACGCTGCCTCAAATGCAGTATCCTCCTCATCCCGGGATCCACACAGAAGGCTACAGGGAAGCACCGCTACATCGCCCTTATCCCCCTCAACGCCCAACCTCGACCTACTCAGTCGACCCATCACAATATATGTCTGGACGAAGTGCCTACCAAGGGTGATTTACCATGAATTATCTCACGCCAGTACCACCATTCATTCGATATAATGTGCGCTACGACTGGACTTACTCTACCTTTTTTTTCAATCTTTCACGCTGTCGTTATGTGTCACCTCACTTTTATCTTGATTACGCATATATCATTTGGACTTAGACTAGGATAACGCAAGTGCAATGGTTGTTGGGCAGACATTCTTCCTGCATATATAGATGGAGGTGGAAGGAGCCCGTCGAATAGTGACTAGCATTTCCTTTGCTGTACTTGTTGCATTTATCTTACCGACAGTTTGCGTACACGGACTTTCTAACTGCCACTAACTATGGTACTCATAATCGAGCAAACCTGCTCGCTTGTTCATTTGACGTCGCCGTCATCTTGAACCTGCTGCATGTCTAACCTGTATTCATATGTGAGGGTCGACCGCCCTGCTCCCAAATGTTTGGCTACCTCACAGGATATTCGTGACCGTGGGTCTGCGTTCGTGGGCAGCGTGTATCGCGCTGGTACACCTGAAGAAGCTAAAGCTGCAATCTTCCATCACCGAAACGTCGTTCACGCTGGAAAGAAGGCCTACGAGATATCTGCGTGGAGATGCATGATGCTGAAACATGGCAAGTCAGGGCTCGGAGGTCCTGATGACTTCGAGGTTCAAGCAGGATATGATGACGACGGGGAACAATGGGCTGGGAGCAAAGTGTCGAGGGTCATGCAACACGAGGGTGTACTTGATGCTGTTGTCATCGTTAGTCGATGGTAAGCTTCAGCTGTGTCTATTCTATGGAGGACAATTAGGGGGAAATTTTACGATTACTTATCGTTCACTCACAGGTTCGGCGGGACCCTTCTAGGACCAGCTCGATTCACTCACATCGAGACTTGCGCCAGTGAAGTATGTCGTACATTCAAACGAGTCGAAGAGATGGACGAATGCATTTCAACGCTTACAAGGCTCGACGATATGTTGGCAAGTCTGCGGCAAGAGTTAAGCGACCTGACTCAGAATACTGAATCGGCAACGAGCGGAAGCACCTCGGCCTCAGACGAGATCCATAATGCAGAAGGAAGGGGAAGCAGACAGCCCGATTACACAGCCGTGCAGAGGGATCTTGACATCACAAAAGCGAGAAGACTCGTCGGTGCCAGAGAAAGTGCAGTCAAAAGTGTCAAGTCTTTGTTATCGAAAAAGAGAACAACTTTGGCGAGTGCTGAGCGCTGAGGCTGAAGGGTAGCACAATTATGCGCAAGAGAGTTGTCACGGTCAGGAAGAATGCTCTCACATAGTAATACGAGTAGTAATAATCTAGCAGAACAAATTTCGAACTACAAAGGTATTTGCATACAGAATATGCATACAAAAAATCAGGGAGGGCATACTAGAGGTGGGATTGTTTCTGCTAGTCGAGGGCAAGTAACCCCCTAGTGTTTGCGAAACATGTATTGATAAATTGCTGCATAATGGTGCTGGGTGTGGAGTGAAGCTGGGTGTGGGGAGAACATGAAACAGCATAGTGAGGTGCGTCAAAATCGACAGGGACGGTACGAACTTTCGGACCGAGGTCGTTGGGCATGTGTTGAATTTTAGAAATAAATCGTGCCAAGTGGATCTGGCTTGTGAAAGAAAACACCTTTGATATTGCCTATAAACATGTGGAGATGGTTAGTTTGAAATATATAAAGCCACTGAGAGCCATTTTAAAGCGGGAATTAATTGGCAACTACCAGTCTGACATAGTCCTATAACCAGATAAGTCCATTGATTCTCAAAGTCAGGCCGCTCGAATTTGGGGACGATTGTCAACTCATTGCGGGAATACAGGCAAAGTCACCCTTATTACGAAGGAGTGGCTGTTGCCAATCCACCTGATAGGGGAGACTCCAGTTTCGCGCAATTTTGCAGACCCCATTTGTTGCAGAATGACTTATATCCCTGGTGGCCGCCACGTGCTCGAGGCGAGGAATTTTTTGTTGTTGGCATAGAAGCTTCAGGGGTGAGCACGCTGCAGACGACCCTGCTGCTCTTGAACAAATTTCAGTCCATTGATAGATTGTCCGAGTAATTGGGATAAACAGAGGTGCCCTCAGTGTTGAGAGTCGACAAGTCAACAGTCATGACTAACTCATAAAACGAAGACACACTAAATAAACATGAGAAAAGACAGCGTGAACGAAAAACAAAAGGCGTATGTACCTTTGTTGTTAAGTTCTGAAGGTCAACAGCCAAGGCACAAGAGACCCTTATTCAAATTCTCGGTTTCCCTATAGCTCCGACGCCGTGGGCGCGATGCATTCATGGTAAATTTAACCCTGTGAGATAAGCCGTAAACATCAAATTGTTGCAAAGAAAGTGGCAACGATAGAATCAGCGGTGCAATGTTTGGCTATATGCTCTGCCGTTCGTCAAGGTTCATAGCTACGACTGGGGCGGCAAGCGAAATCATCATGAAGAAGTTTTGATATGATACCTACCTGTACAACATATTCATTGGTTCTACGCTTGTCCGAGGCCTGAGAGAACTTCGGAGAAAGATCCAACGGAAGTCCAATATTGATCCATCACCTGCATAGAGATCAGTCGGCGTCCCGTTTTACCAATAGAAAGTGAAATTACCTTGACTACACCACAAACCAAAACATAATCTGCGGCATCCCCCGCTCACCAAGTCTAGCTACTGTCTGGTCGATGAATTGCGTTACAGCGCACTGTTCCATCGACCCAAGATGACCTCCATTCGGATTCAGCGGCTCATCAGGGGTAGAGCCGTCTTAGTCGAGCGTAATTTGCCAACGCCCAGGCCGCGTGCCATGCGCCGTGTAAAAACCATACAAATGATGGAGGACGGCGAAAAGGTGTACTTAGATGATACATTGGTCTTCCCATCCTCTCAAAGTCGAGATGAGAGCCTGTACTAAGCTGTGGGTGTCGATTCTATGATGCATTGAAAAAAATAGACGCAGCCTTAGATAATCACCTTTCTTTATTTTACTTGCAGTGAGTGGCTGTGCAATCCGACTTGGAATGTTTGTTCTGAGAACCGGGCGACAGACTAGCTATCATGCATTTCAGCAGAGAGCGTATGCGACCATTGATACTGTCAAAGAAGGCAAGCGCGTAGCTTCAACAGTAACTCCTCCGTGGTCAAGGCGATTCGAACTTCAAGACCATGATGAGGATGATAATGTCGGCCCCGCCCGGCGTACGGTTTGTATCCGCACGTCCAGGTTGCTCGCAGGCGGGATGGTTGACGCGTTCGCTGTCATTCGTGGGATGGAGCGTAAATTTGGGCGGATACGTGAATACCGGTTCATACGGGTTTGTGCAGTAGAGTGGTTTTTACATTTCAGTTTGCTCAAACGCCATTAGGATGGAGAAGTGAACTCCGAGTACCAGATGATATGTTGGGCTGCATTTCAATCTGAGGACTCAATGAGCCTCATTCCAGAGGGGGGTATCACCATGAATGTCATGGCTGCAACGCAAGATCCTACTATCCCTGAAGGGGGCCCGGGGCTTGAACACCTTCAAGGTCTATTTGACGTGAAGGATACAGACTCTTCCAGTCCCTCAACATACTCTCCTGAAGGCCCTTCAACACATCCGAGATTAATTGAACTCAATGTTCAGCGAGCTGGTGTGTATATCCTTACTCTTTCTCATCTTGCAACAACGCCGTGTGCTCACAACGTGGACAGCAAGTGACTTGCGTTTCAATGGAGACAGCAGACCATTAAACCTCACGAAGGGTAGAAGGATTGAAATCGGACAACGATTCTACGAGTGGGGAGGTTTCTATCCTCTAAAGCCTCTTTATACATCATCCCCGTTCGCTTCTCCATCCGAAGAACCGCCGCCTACTCCAGACCACGAGAAAATGCGCATTGCGCTGAACAAGTGGAGTCAAATACTTGAGCGACCCGACCCTTCGTTTGCACAGATGGAGGCCACAGCGACAGCGGAAGCAGATACTCAAAAAGACATGACAGCGGATTCGGAACCGCCTAGTGATTCATCGACATCAACGATGTTGTCTCAGAGGAGTCGAAGGAGGACCAGACGCGAGGTGGATTCCTGGGTACCACTATCGACGCCACAACTAACAAAACCGGCCCCGCCACCCCCCGAGGCTATCACCCTCCGCACAATGCCCAAGACTTTGCAGCCTTTGACGCCCAAAGTTTCGCGTAAAGAGCGTTTGCTCGAACAGGCTCGTAGCCAAGCTCGCGAACGGGTCCTGCAACAGGTTGCGCTGCGTGCCAGAGAAGCCGAATTCGCTGACCTCGAAAATCCAAATTCAGAGACACTAAGGGAGAGTGTTGAGGCCTTTTTGAAGGACTCTAAAGTCGATGCAGATTCGCCAGGCAATGTGACGGATGGATCTGAGTATGAGGTCAAGCCAAAGGCAGGAGACAAACCGTTGAGCGAGAGCCAGGTCTCTCCTGCGAAGGAAAAGTTGTGGAACTTGGTTGGGAAGTGGTTCTGATTGATACTGCCAGTACTAGTATAGAGCTTTTCTGCATCCATTGTTCTTACTTGCCGCACGTGAGTTATCAAAGGTTAGCAGATAAGTTATATAAGCGGATAACTCAACCGAATTCCGTGATAAGTTTCCGCACTAAGTCGTCATTCTTCCGGGAGCGAGACCTTGAGCATATACAAGCTTGGCTTTTGAATTTTGAATTTTTATATTGGCTAGCTGCTGTAGTGGCACATGTGATCCATTTTGAATTATTTGTGGGATTTGCAAAATAATTTGTTTTGGCGGACAGCTCGGAGCTCCCTTGACCGGCGGCACCCGGCACGTGTAGTTCCGACGTTCCGGTTTTGCACTTCCCCACAAAACTCATCCCGCACGTCTTTTTTAAGCGCTTTCTGATCAAAGCTCTAAACTTTCGAGTTTAATCGACGGACCGTCTTCCGCATCTCTACCATCGAACATAAGTGTATACAGAATACCAAGAATGGCTACCTTGTTATCTGCGCGTAGTTCCATTCGGCGACTGGGATATCCTCTTTATAAGGCGCCGTTTGCAAACAACGGGAGTCGCGCAGGTCAGTTGAAGAATTTTTTGAACTATGGTTGGGAACTCATATCGGTCCGGTAGCGTCAGGATATGTGAAATATAACTATGAAGTATGTTCAATTCGCACTCAGTAATAACCAGGTCAAGACTACCGTAACTACTTGTTAGGATCCGTTGAACATGGAATCTTTACTAACGGAAGAGGAAATTGCCATACGGTACGTATTAGTTGTGACATCTTCGGCGGACGTCAAGCTTATACTGACACAGTGATACTGCTCGGGAGTATTGCCAGGCAAGTCCGCCTTGTCTACATTCAGAAAGCCGCGTGATGATCCGTTTGGTAGGAAAATCTTGCTCCCCGTGTGCTGGAAGGCTGGCGGACGGAAAGTAAGGCATGAGTTTTATTCTCTGTTATTTGTCTCAAACATGGCGTGCAGAATTCGATCATGACATTCTCCCTGAAATGGGCAAACTTGGACTACTTGGACCGACGATTCAAGGCTATGGCTGCGCTGGAGCGAGCAATGTGGCCTATGGCCTCATCGCTAGAGAAATTGAGCGGTCTGTACCGCGCGTTTGGTCTTCATCGTTAACTTACCCTTGGACATGCTAGCGTCGATTCTGGCTACCGGTCGACGGCATCTGTCCAATCATCGCTTGTTATGCACCCCATCAACGAGTTTGGTACTGAAGCACAGAAAGAGAGGTATATTCCTCGGTTAGGTAGGATTTCTAACTGTGATCGAGAACTCGCCGCTTATACCATACAGCCAAGGGAGAAATCGTTGGCTGTTTTGTATGAGATCACAGTACCTAAGATTTTGAGTTCGCTGTAATAATTTAAACAGGGGCTGACTGAACCAAATCATGGTTCCGACCCAGCTGGCATGGAGACAACTGCTGAAGAAACTGATGGCGGCTTTGTCCTCAATGGAAGCAAGACTTGGATATCAAATGCACCTGTCGCGTAGGTCCCCTTGTTCAATTTCTATGATACCACTGATTTGCTGGCGAAACAGTGACATTTTTGTCATCTGGGCTCGCTGCAAATGGGATGGCAAGGTCCGAGGTTTCCTTCTCGAGAAGGTAAGCATTTTATTTCTCGTTCTACTCACCAATCTCACTCCCACACAATTGGTAGGGTCTGAAAGGTTTGGAAGCGCCGGCCATAAAGAATAAGGTTGCACTTCGGGCGTCGTTAACTGGTTCGATCTTCATGGACTCTGTTAGAGTAGGCCATGATGCCTTGCTCCCGCACGGACAGGGCCTTAGTGCACCTTTCTCCTGTCTGAATAGTGCCCGGTACGGCATTTCATGGGGTGTAATGGGGGCTCTCGAGGACTGCATCCAAAAAACTCTCGCGTATGCACTTGAACGAAAACAGTTTAAGCGACCGCTGGCATCTTTCCAGCTCGTCCAAAAGAAACTTGTAGACGCACAAACTGAAGTAGCTCTTGGCTTGCAGGCTAGTCTTCAGGTTGGTAGACTGAAGGACGCAAGCAAGCTGGCACCCGAAATGATCAGTATGGTAAAACGTAATAATTGTGGAAAGGCCCTTCAGCACTCCCGAGTCATTTTGGATATTCTCGGAGGGAATGCAGCTTCAGATGAGTATGTCTATGGTTTACGTGACTGTGATGGATGCGTTAAGTTGATGTTTGAAGGTACCATGTCGGTAGACATGTTGCAAATTTACAAGTTGTGAATACTTATGAAGGTATGTGCCTTGCTCGCCGCCACCCGGCGTGATCGCTGACGTGTTCGCCTTCCAGGGACATATGTTAGTTTCACACCATATTTTCCACGATCTCTCGAGCTGACAACCCAATCCTCCTTTTCATGCAGGATATACACGGTCTCATCCTTGGAAAGGCAATCACTGGCATTCAAGCTTTTGCTAACTAGTTCCATCGATGTATTCCTTGTGATACATGCACGTTCCTATTTTCTTATCTGTCGGAACATCATCACTGAGTCGTTTTTTAACAGAAATCTTAACGAAAGACTTTGCATGATATCTACTTTAGATGCATCGTCAGATGCGTGTGTCTAACGTTAATAATTTACCAATCGTAAACTATGTAGCACGCAAGAAAAATTTGGCTGTGTACTGATAATTTCAACGCATTGACCTTTCTATTTTCTTGACATTTGTAGTGCGCTTAATTTCACCTGTTGCCGCATCGGCGGGATCAACAGGCGGGAAGTCATCTATCTCACGTTGCTTCCGAAGGTTCCGTTCATCCGCACCGTTTAGGTCCCACATTCCGGCAAAAACGTGGAACGATGATCATACCGCACTTGGTCATGCCTTCCAAACAAACGAAGACGACCCCGACTGGGTGGGACGACAACTGACGACAGACCAGTGATACGGTCATGTCATTGACACCACATTGGTACCGCCTGTTCTTACTTGTAAACAACCTGGGTTCTATCTCATCCACTCCGAATCATGGTTGCATTTCCTTCGCCGCATCAACAGGAACAACATTTAGGGAGCGCCAGCCTGAGGGTGCATTGTAATTTTTTTCTCGCAGTGAGAGCAAATTTATGTAATTGCACTTTAATTTTGCCATGGAGACAAAAGGTTGAAAAGGCAACTGCATTCCAAGCGGTGGGGAAGGATGATCTACATAAGCGATGCATTGGAAATCAGATCAACCACATAAAATCTTTTGTAGCTCCACAATAACATCACATGTCCCTTCACAAATTTTCCATCATAGATTTGCATCTCCTCTAGATGGATCTGATTTTTTACTAATTTTTAGGATGATATGGTGTGGTGTCGGAACGAAGCCGAAAAAAATCAGGGTCTAACCTTTAATTTGTTCGGTCACGTCCTGTCACGCTTCGGCAGAGTAGCGGCACCGTGACTGTCGACTTTTACTCTCCGCAGCCTTCAAACTTCGAAGCTTCAAAGCGCGCGCGCATCGCGAGAGGAGCAATATCATGAGCGTCATAATTCGTCTGATACTGATGGTAATAATCACCGCGATTGTACTGGTGTTGCTGATAGGCAAGTAGAATTGATGCCGGGGATGCCGAGGAGGAGATTGAATTTTCCGGTGTCACGCTGTTATACTCGTCATTGATTTTACTAATGCAGCGCCTCAGCTCAAGAGAATTATCGCATTGGTTTTATGTCTTCCATATAAGGAGTTCATTATACTCCAGGTTTTTTTATGAATAGCTTTTGTACAGGATCTTTGGGATCTGGATGATTTGTCTTGGGCAAAGGTTGCAAATTACCACTATTTCATCTCTCCCAGCTGCAAACATACAAGACTCTTTTGTTCCATTTGTACAAAACATCATCTCTAGGTAGTCTGCATATGCCCGAATTTTTCAGTGCCGGTTGAGCACGATCTTGAAATAAACTTCTCGCATATTAGCATGACAGGGAATGTGAAGTATGAAAGAGTGAAAGAGTTTAAATCACTCGGGAAGGGATCAAGGGCCATGAAGCTCGTACGTGGTGGACCGAGTTCGAACTCCGGTGGATTGCGTGCTATTAGGTTTAACAGCTGTGCGTGCGCAAAACAATGTGTGCCTTCGGACCAAACCTCACGTGGTTGAGTTTCTCCGCAAATTGTGTTGGTTCATCTCGAGTATTGGTACTGCCGCGGTCATGTCCGGAACCACGGTCTGAAGTATGAATGCTATGGAAGTTCCAGGTTTTCTATATACGTTCTGCCACGTTCACGACATGGGCACTACATGGGTATCGGATTTTAATGAATTTGCAGCTGTGATAATAGCAGGAAGGACTACACCTGATATTCCTGGAGTTTGCAAGAATGTTGGCACCCAACTGCTCCGACACATTGACTTTATGTGCAAGGGTGCTAGATTCGCTACGGACGGCTCGGATATACAAGCCCCTTGACAGGTGGCTGCACAAGAGCGTATGGGTAGTGCATATGCTGGCCGGTGTTTATAGGGATACGAGGGAAAGCCCACTTACTTCCTTGTTTTGGACCAGGACCATAAAGTTTACCTACCGTGGGCAGCGACTTTGAACAAGCAACGGCCTCCCACAGGTGTGACGGACTTGTGTTTAGAGATCCTATTTGATTCTCGACTGCTTTCAAGTTCGCTGCGCCAGATTCCTCTGTATATGTTATATGTCGATTGACTTTTGCTGGTCCAGTTCGCGTTCAAACCACGAGACTTGAGCATCGTACGCGCCAAGGCCTATTCGATATCCTGAACTGAACCACCCAGGGAAGTGACCGAACCAAACCGCACTGCAGCAGTACTCTCAGAGCCTTGATCTCAAACCATAATTATCAGAAATCTGACATTGCCTCGGGGCCTCTTTTCCTCCGTAATGCGATGACTGTTGCTGGGGCACAAGTCGTTCCAAAGATGTCAACGACTGTACCCTCTACTTCGTGCGAGTAAAATATTCGAATTGTTGACTCACAGGCAAAATTAATCTGACTCTTCCGCTGTTGAAGTTTAAACGTCCGAGGAGGGCAGTAACTTGGTTCCAACAAGGTTTCCGGTTGTTGAACATGTCTGGTATATTGACACCCGGATCCGCTTGTGGCCATTGCAACCATCGCATCAGAGGAGCGCTTGTATTCTGAAATGTGGTTGAGTTCAGGCTCACTACGGATCTTTGCGCTCTTGCAAGATTTAGTGAGCCTCGAGATCTAAGATCTACAAGAAAATTGTCTGACTAGGAACAGTGACCAGAAAAGTCGGCGAGGCTGTGTTACATAACCAAATGGATGATTTCCTTTTTGGGTGCTCCCGAGTCGGAAAACTAAAATAGATCACTACAAGCCGGTAGGGCGCAGGAAAACTCCTTGCAATTGTTATTTTCGCGTCTCTTCTCATTCGCACAGATTTGCGCGAAGTGTAACATTAATTGTCACCGTTGCATACAGCTGATTGTAACAATGTTTGCAGATGCCTTTCAAGCGACCGCTGCTAAGCTCGCATACAACTGATGACTCTGAATCCCAGTCGGAGTCTTCTCACGGCGGACCTTCCAAGCGACGCCGAGTCAGTTCACCATGGAAGGACAAACCCATTCTGGTGTACATCTTACAGGCAAAAATCCATCCAGAAATGATGTCTGAGCTTGCCATGCTAGTCGAGAACTATAAAGTTGAGCGTGGTATCAAGAGTCTTGAAGGGCCAACCAGTGGCAGCGTTAGCGAACTCCACCTTGAACTCACTGGCGATGTTGAGAAGGCGGATGTCATTGTCACCGCAACTAACATGAGGCAACGCTTGGAAAGGCACGTTGAGTGGAGAATTGCGGTATGCGCCTACACTTCATCAATTACGCAGAGTGCTTGCTCCAATACCATTTACAGAAAACGAAGGCCATCGTAACACCATTATGGCTTCAAGATTCTGTGAAATCCGGTCGGCCCGTTTCATACGGCAGCTATATTGCAGTTCATCACCTGGAAGACGAAACTTCGCGAAGTCACGACACTGTCCAAGACACCTCATCTAGAAGTTCATCCAGCATGCCCTCTGAGGCAGAGAAGCAAACAGAACCAGCTGAACTCGTAGATGCTACCGAAGTGGAATTATTGTCGCACACTGCGAAATACAGTTGTCTACGACCGTCGCCACTTGTCTGCCCCAATCAAAGTCTGGTAAAAGAAATTGATGTCATTCGACAAGGCAGGAATGTCGAAGGGGAGGAAAGGAGTATGCTCAGCTACTCCAGGGCTATTTCTGTCTGTTCAATCTATTTCATCGTGTTGTATAACACTCTTAACCCATCGCGCCCAGGTCATCAAGGGTTTGTAACTGCAATGCCGTTCAATGTATAACGAGCTGGATTTAATACGCAGCTTACCCGCATGTCATAACGAAACACAATATCCGAGATCTCCACGGGCTACCGTTCTTGGGAGTGAAGATCCTCTCAATGGTGATGTCGCCATCCTCCTTACCGTTCACTTTTCATTATTCACATATACATTAGATTGAGGAGTTTCTAAAGACAGGCCAAATAACCGAAGCGCGTTCGTGTCTTCCCCCCCTGCTCTATGACGTGGCGCTGATACGGATGCAGAGAGAATGTTGGCGGATCCGCGGTTTCAGTCACTCTCTGCTTTCATCACAATACATGGAATCGGACCCCACACTGCTCGCCGTCTTTATGACCTTGGTCTCCGCACGCTTGAGGAACTTGAACGATATTATGAAGTTAAACCAGGCGTGTCTGACGAAGAGACAATGCCACTACTTGATGCTGAAGCAAGCGCGAATATAGAGGCTGCGGGAGAACAGTCGATTAAGATCGGGCTGGCTCTACGACACGACTTGGGCCAGACGTGAGCTTTTTTTTTATTCGCCCTTCGGACGAAGACATCGTGCTTTTTTATTGATATCTGTGCCTTCATAGCATTCCACGCGAAGAAGTAGAAGAAATTAATGGGACCATCATGCGAGAACTCGGCCACATCCAGAAAGGGTGCAAAAGCGTGATCGCTGGAGGGTGTGTTTACCTTGCTCGCCCAAACTAGTAGCTGTTATTCATTGCGTTGCTCTTCCATGGGCGTGTGATTTTAGTTACCGCCGAGGAAAGCCACAAAGTAACGATGTTGACATAGTCATCACCCATACGGATTGGAACTTGGGGTCTCAGAAAGTGAAGGGTCTGTGTAGAAAGCTTGTGCAGCGACTGCATGAACAAGGTCAGAGATCTGCAATAGAGATACTTGGTCGTCATACTGATCAATTACAGGCCTCGTCACGCATGTCATGCGTATGTCTCCAGCATGACCGCCTTGGGTTGTCTGATTTGACACCGTATAGATCTTTCGGGATTCCACGAACACAACGTGTTGCGCACTCATCACTGGGACTCTTTAGAGAAGGCTCTAACTGTGTTCGTATCGCGTCATAATTCATCGCGGCAGAACGTTTACCGACGTGTCGATCTGATTTTTGCTGCACCGGAAGTATTTTGGACTGCAGTAGTTGGGTGGTGAGCACTAGACCTAACTACTTTGGCAAGTGATACGAGCGCCAATCTAGGACTGGGTCGACGATGTTCGAAAGAGACTTACGGTTATGGGCGAAGCAGCAAAAGCAAGTATTTGCGCTTCTCCGCGTGGATCCTGGTTAACTTATCTTATCAGGGGGATGAAATTTGATAGCTCTGGGATGTGAGTCTCTAGTGAACCAAAACAATGGACTTGGCATATGGACTGATCCCATTGCTTTATAGATCACGACGTCATGATTCCAAATTGTACCATCCCAGAACGGAACGTGATGTATTCAAAGTACTTGGACTAGTTTACATTCACCCAACACTGAGGAACGCGGATGCATGATCCGGGTGGCTATCTTCAACTTTCCCACTTGCATGTTCTACAATTCGTTATATTTCGACTCCATTTTCCAGCATTCCCCGCATATTTTGTGGTTGCTTCCGCAGCTATGCAATATACTCAATTTCGCCTGAATGATATTCCTAGTGATAGTCTCCGATTTTGAGCTTGGCAAGATCGACTGCGCTAAATTCCAGTACCAATATCATATCACATGCGGTCTTGCAATCACAACACTGGTCACTATCCTCCGGGCCTGTATGCATCCACCATTCAAGTTCAAGTCGTCACCCTAGATTTACTTCACAGAAATCGGGGAGGCCCGTAGGTTCTTCCAGTTCTCCCATACTTTCAATTTAATCAACTCTGTGAATGGGTGAGTGTCTTCGCTTCCATGGCTCTGCCTCGCGACCGGCTTAATTCGTTTAGTGCTTCTAATCACCATCCGCGCAGTTACGCTGAGCTCCGCTTCACACCACAGATCGATATTTTAGCAACAAGTCGGCGACCTCGAATTTCTTGCAGGATCAGATCTCATCATGATGCTGTGGGTGTGGGCACACCCTGGGCCCCTCAAAATGACTTGGCTGCCTGGCTACTCTGGAATTTTCTCGGACTTATACCAAACCAAGCGATGCCATTTTTTGCCCATTGCTTGCGCACTGATCAACTCAATCTGCACGACTTGCAAGCGAGGACGTTTATTGGTCTGTGAATATCCGAAATCGCTCAAATTGAGTTACCAGAAGAAAGGTTACCAGCCACTGGCCCACTAGTACTGTGGGTAATGCATTAATGACTCAAGTTCCTGTCTGATGGAGATTCAGATTGACTGTCTTCACGTCTGTTATTTTTTGTATCATCTGTGCCAAGTTTTTGTCGCACCTCTCTAAATCGCGTGGTGTCTATTTTTATCGGGTCCAGGGCGACTTCCCCCTCCTATGGCGACATCTGGAAATCACCTCCAGTTATCGAGTATTCAAGCGAAGCGTTGAGTACCAATTTCGCTGACCGCTCCAAAGCCCGACGCGTCAAGTGCCGAAGAACCTCGCACCGTTTGTTTTTGACATCCATTTTGAATGGTGAGTTTACGAATTTGAAGTGAATTTGATTATGTCTGCATTTTGACCTCGCAACCGATCGCTACCTGTAACCTGGGCTCTTGAAGTTATTCTAATATTGTTCTATTCGACGTCGATATCGGCGGTCACAGCCATACATAGTATAGGATATAATGCAGTCACTCGATGGGCGATTTACGTCAAGAGGCTTGGACGGCTCTCTACCAGTCGTAGCATCATGGCCGGAAGTCGCAAGGTTTGTGTTAAATTTGCCAAAAGGTTTTTGCAAAAGTTTCTAGCATGTGAGGGGCTGTACCTATGCTGGTGGTCTCGAGACCATCCATCACCATTGGAAAGCTGTATGTTCTGTATACTAGGATCTCTGGAGTGGCTAATAGATGTGAAGGAACACCAAGTGGTTGATACAAAAGGCGGGGTGGTAAGTACTATGTCATATCCGGGCTAGCTTATTGTGCTCCAAAAAATGATCGACATGGGCGTGACCAAATGTGGAAGAAGATTGGAGTCGTCCCAAGAACGTAACGGTTTGCGTCCAGTGCACTACACTGCCTGCTGGACTATGAGGAACTCTAATGTGTTGATTTGTTATTGAAAACTAATCACTCCGCATCCATATCACCCTTTCAGAACACGAGGTCCTGATTTTCATGCGAACACAGACTATTTTAGCAAAATGTGGGGGATCGGTCACGACGTCCTTGGGGAGGGGGGAATGAAGAGATGTACTGTTGTCAAAAGGGCTGATGATGTGATGAATGTATGACAGACTGTAGCTTAACCTTATTTTCGAGTAGGCGCATCGATAAGGCGACGAGGCGGGCTTGACTTCCCAAACCAGCCATCGAGGCGCATCGATAAGAGTTCTACCAGTACTTCCTGTGTAACAGCGGCTGCAGTCGATAAAATATCAAATACTAAGGTACGCGCTTCCATGGAAGACGCGGATGCGATATGATTTACCACTTACCTGTACAAACTGTAACAGCCTGTAACTTGTTTGAAAATGGAGTTCCGAGGGGGTTAGACTGAAGGAAGTTCCCGTCCTTTTGGGATCTTGGCACCTGATGGCGAATGCAGGACAAGTGGCTCCAACTACATCCGTCTATGTGAACGCTAGACGTACTAGAGCGCTGGGTCAGTGTTTGACTCTCGGAACCGCCCTGATCTCGGTAACTATCCCAGTCACCACCTGTTTGTCTCTGTTTAATACCAAAAAAAAATACATAAAAATTCTTTTGACATTCAGATCGAACATTGCCGCCTTGCACTGGCATGCCCACTGCAAAGACAGCAGATCTTTTTGCTCGTGTTATGCTCACGTGGGATCTCCATGACGGTTCTCGTAATTTAATGAAAGGACAGTTCCCAAGCCTTTGATCGGGAGCGTCGTGGAGGAAACGAGTCTTCTGTCAACTTTCGTTTCTCTCGAAACCTTTTTAGACCCGATAGTCGGACGGAGGCAATGTGAGTGTGGTCCCTAGTAATGTATGATCATGACCCCCCCCCGTCTTCATCCGCGAACCGAGACTTGCCGACTTTCAGGATTGTCATGTCCCGTATACAAGGGTCAAAGAACGGCGGCGATAATCGCGTGTACGGAAACGGACTTAGCTACTAGATCTATGTCCTGAATTGAACATCAACCCAAGTACATGTGAGAGCCGACATTTGCAAATCAGATGAGTACTTGATTGGAGTTGATTGGTCGGGTAATTGAAAGGTCCTGACGGTCGTACTTACCTATGAGCGGGATATAAATCCGGACGATACAAAAAGTTGGCCCAGTTTCTGTTGCATTGTCGCCTACATAACACCACATTATTTGGTTCACCAGCCCCCATCTCATGCCCCGCCATTCAATTTCTGCGCATATGTCTCAAATAACTGATGGCGACATAGCTTTGATCACTCCCATCTCACCCTCAAATGCACCTTGGGACCAGTGCCCTCCATCATACTCTGGAAATGCAATGAGCACTATTGGGTGGAGTTACTACCCTCTACCACCGTCCCCACCTATCTCTGTCGGCTCAAATATCACTGACTCTCCTGGACCTGCATCTTCTAATACAACTCCTGACTCTGCACGAGACAAGGAACAACAATTGTGCTTGCCTACACACCAGGTGTTTGACTTCCCTGAGGTGCCGAATGTATCGTCACCTTCACCATCTATCTCTCCACCGTTATCAAAGTCCTCTCAGCCACCTATTTCCATTGATACTCACATGCATGCGGAAGGGCTATCTTCCCTCCCTGTCGCAGGCCCTTCGAAGAGACCACGAACTGGCGGAGAGCGTATCACAACGAAAGACTTTGTGCCACCTGATGTATCGGGGTTGAGCAAACGAGAAGCACGTCTGGTCAAGAACCGCGCCGCTGCTTTCCTCAGTCGACAGCGGAAGCGGGAGGAATTCGAAGCTATGGAGATGTAAGTTCCTAAAGTTATTTCTTGGGTACGTCACAAGACGCTAAATGATACTCGCTTCATCGATATAGTCGCGTCAAGGAGCTAGAGGATGATAATGTGCGGCTGCAAACTGCTGCCAAAAGAGGACACGCCTATGACGAGTTGCTCTCAGAAGTCGAACAATTACGCACTCGCCTTTCTGGATCTGAAAAAAGGGGGCGCGAGTTGAAGGCCGAACTTTCACGAAGATCAATCAGTGATGTCCACGTGAAGACAGAAAACTACGAACATTCTTTGACACCAGTCTCGCCATCTGCATCGTTGCCAATGCACTCTCACCAGAGATCAGGAGCAAGTCTCGGCCTGATGGTAGGCAACCTAGTCTTTGGAAATCAGAATTATGAGACCAATGACCCAACAGCAGGTTCTCCTATGCACGCTACCGGCGTCCCTTCTTTCCATGTCCCCAAGATCACTTCCCACGACATACTATATTCCCCCGACGGATCCCTCGGTCCTACACCCCTCGTGCAACTTCGACTACAACTCCATAATCCCAAACGATTTCGAATGGACACCACATCCTGACGGGGGAGCAGTGATGAACCTCGGTTTTAGCGATCTCGGAAAGCTTTCTTCAGGCGCTGGATCTTCGTCCCCTCGCAAAGTCGAAATCCACTCCGAAGCCATCAGAGCCCTTGGGGGATTCGAAATTTCCTTCGATGCCAGTCCAGTCAATGACGGAAAAATTCAGGTTCGGATCTACCCTTCCCAATCACACCATATCAACCGGGATCACCAACGTCCACCCCCATCCTCGATGCCTATGTGGTTCGAGTCAGCACCAAATAACTACAACTTTGCAGGTGCCTTGGCATTTACCGCATCGTCGACACCGGGATCTTCTTTCGTGCCATTGACTAGCGATTTTGACTTGGATCCTTTTCTGGGTGGAGTTCACGACTCAGGAATGCCGTATGGCAGTGGTGGACCGGCGTTCAGCCATCATCCATCGGATCCCACATTTGAACACATACCAGGGTTTTTGAATGGCACTCGCAACGACTTCTCCAAACACCGTTCGCGAGTTGCCATGAGAAACCTGCCAGCTGTCGGGATGGAAGGGGAGTGGGAGGTTCAAGCATGTTAATCCTTCCGCAGTTGGTCAACCGCGTTACTCGACAACCGTTACTCATGTCCCATCTACTTGCATTCAGCTGCTCTGATTGAAGTTACCTGGATAACCCACATCGGAATTTATATCACTAGTATCTACTTTACTGGCTTGAGCTGGCCTTGAAGCAATTGCTCGCATTATTTTTTCACAAACATACTGGATATATAGTTTTTACTTAGGTGTAGCAGATATAGAGGTGAATCTCAAGGTGGCAGAGCCCTGCCTCAGTTTCCTTCCTTTTGCAGACATTGCGCAGATCATCATCCTCACCACCGAAATGAACACATACGAGTCAAATAACAGTCCAGACTTCAGTGCCACCACGTTACAGCGAGGACACTATATTTGTGGGGAATTTTATAGCCCACTGGGGAACGATAGCAGCACTTTTCTCCTCTTGACCATCACCCTCGGGCCTTCCCGGTGATCGCACAATTCCGACCTCACCAGGATCCAACACACCAGTCTAACACAACAGTTTGGCATATTACTCTTTACTAGAGAATCTTTTTCATTACCGATCCACCCGCAACAGCCATAGATTTGGCTTCAAGCAGTGTCGACTAGCGTAAACCAGTGTCCACTCATTTGATTGACAACAACAACGGAGTTCATTTAGCTAGTAATTTTACTCACGTTTAAGGTTTCTCTATACAAGTCTAATTTGATAACCTTGTCGTCTCCGTTCCCAATGTTGACTGGACATTGCGGCCGCTTTCTGAACTAGTAGTGTCAACTTCTCCGCTCTCACTTTCCTTGCCTCTATCTTTCTCCGTGCATGGTCCGTCGTCTGGATATAGATTGTTCTGCTCTATGTAATCGATGACAGCCGCTGGGAGGAGATACTGTACCGAAAGACCCCTGCGAAAGAACAGCCGTACCTTCGTCGATGAAACATCGTTCTGGACCTGCTGAGCGATAGGGTAGATGTTGTTCCGCCAACGCGCCAGGCTGTCAACTACTTGATCCAGAGCGGCCCCAGTGCGCTCAATGACAAACGTTCCATGGTGTCCGAGTACATGATCGAGCTAGATCACTGCATCAGTCCGCAAGCACATGTGATTTTTGAGACCAAAGTAGATACCTACGTCATCATGAGACCAAACGCCCGGCTCAGACATGGTGCCAATTAGGTCTGAACCAGCAAGGAGCATGATCTGAACATCACGTTCACCATCTCGAGTGGACACGCCACCAAGAACCGTGTTAATTTCGTAATCGAAGTGATCAAGCACAGCAGCTGTACGTTGATAAGTCTGCAGCGCCTCCCAGGAATCGACCATTAGCCACGACGACTCCTGCTCTGTGGCGAGCGCGCACATGTTAACCCTGTTCCATGCAGAATACATCAGTATTGAAATGATAGATAGTTGCACAATCCAAGACTTTGAAGTTTCAAGTTGGGGGATAAAAATTTAACCTTTCCGAAATCTTGGAATACCGGACACAGATACATCTGTGTCAGGGCGTCTTTGTTTAAAGAAGTATGCCTCCTTAGGTCTTAGGTTCACCACGGCTGTGGGACCTCACGAGACCTCGTGAGACTCAGTTATGGTCCACAAAAGAGAACGCGACCGGTCCGACTACTTGAACTGGAGCACCCCTCTAGGGAAAAACACAGTCCTTCTAAAGAGGATAGACCACAACTCTGGTGCCCCGACACATACTATGGGAAGAAACAACAGCGATGCACTTACCGATGATGTGCGCTGACTAGACCCGCTTTCTTGTACTCGTCACTGACTGGACTGAGATATCCACCGAGGATTTCAAAATTGGTATTCTGCTGAATGAAATCCTTTGCGATCTCAAACATCCGAAGGTGGTGATATGTGATAGGATTAAAGGAGCCGCATGCCACCAGGACGATAGGTTGCTTGGTGGAGGTATGTAGAGTGCGACAGAGTCGATGAGAGGTCAAAGCGTAATTTGGAGGATTCGTCAAGGCAGTCGTCTTGTGCGCGAATATTTGAGCGGCCATAGTGGTGCTAGAAGGAGTGTGGAAATGATGATATCATCTTTGGTGCGAGATGGCTTGCTACTGCGTACCCTAGGCACGTTCCCCCTTTTTCTCCTCAGTGAAGATGAACTGGCACGATCTCCGCCTTAATGGTGATCACAGGCAACTTCTGAGAACTCGGTGATATTGGTGTTACTGCAAGACATTTCACAAACATTCAGAAGACATGCCGCGTGGTCAGTGGGACGCGTCGGTGACCTCGGAGGATTCAGTAAACCGTTGGGCGGCCCTTACTGCATTGCACCCTAATCGCTCCCGGGTCCGGCGGCCGTTTATCCATCACCTAACCTTCAACAACCACTGGTGCGAACACAGGGCCAACAAATTCGAATCAAAGCGTGACCCTGGACCTGGTTCGACCGCAGCTTTCGAACTTTTTTCTACATCTTCAAGTTGCATCACTTGAAGCTATGGTGCAGGAAATCAAAAACAACCCAAGAACAAGGTGACTAGTCGGCAGCGCCGAACCGTAGTAAGCATGTTTGTCTTTTACTCCTCGGCGTAGCTTGTTAGTTGGTCAAATCTGCTAACATGATTTCCATGGGGAGTCGTGATGGCTTTTACATATTGACCGCGGTAATTGTAACTTACATCCCGACCTTCCCTTCGGAATCAATGTTACGAATTCAACTTTCAAGTCTATTACCGTTTCTCATTGATCCGGGTCGTAACTTCAGTCCCCAAGGCATCTGGCAAAAGTTACAGCATGAGGCTCAATGGCATTGGCATCATCAATATTCGAAGCTTTGTCTAGAGTGATGAACCCATGGAACGTCCATTAAGCCCAAGGTGGAACGTTAACGGGAGCTGTAGAGGGAACTTAGACTGCCTTCGGAAACATGGTGAGACTACTTCCTCGCCCACACCATCTTGCCCTTCACCCAGGTGCTTAGTACATTACCTTGGTGGTCAAGAACCGCCAAGTCCGCGTCTGCTCCCGCGCGCAGCGTACCCTTCTTGTTCTCAATATTAAGGCACCTGGGAAATTGTATTACGGCAAGGTCTGTGAGATCATTTTTTCTTTGCTTACCTTGCAGGATTGTAAGTTGCACATTTGATAGCTTGACCAATGGAGCAGCCCGTGTAGCGCACAAAGTTCCGTACGCATTTATCGAGGGTAACCACGCTAACGTTCGGCCATTAGTGTGCAAAACAGATATGTAGTGTAAACAAACCTTCCGGCAAGGGTGGTGGTGCCTTCCACGTAAAGCGCATCGCCCTCCTTGTAAAATCGACGGCCATCGCGCCAGTCGTGAACACCATCCTTGAGGTGCGGGTCAAGAATCTTCATGGCTGTGAGAACTTCAGTAAAGCAACTCCGTAACACAACGTCGCATACCATCGGTAATCAAGATGCACCCGTCTGGATGGGCACTGTACGCTAGCTACTTAAGATATCAAACACAGTCCAGATGTACGTCAACAATAATAACATACTCTCACGGAGTTGGGATGAGAATGAATCCCATCCACGATGATCTCGTAGAATGGTCGATCGAATGGTATAGTCGTCAAATCCTTCTTGAGCCTGCTTTCGCTTGACTGCCCACTCCCCAGGGGAATGGCGGTGATAACGGCAGAGCCCGGGCTCGCCGTTGACTTGCCTGTGGGAAGGAGAGATTTCCTGAGAGCTTGTTCCGCAAGGAGCATGGGTGTCTGAGGGGGTGTCTTAATCTCATCAAGTGCTTCCGATATGTGATCAATTGAAGGCTCCTTGGTGATTGGAAGCGAATGCATCGAGGCATTGAGGGCACTGATGATAGCGGAAGGGAATGGCAAAAAAGTCGAAGAAGACGAAGGAGATAGATAAGGAGAAGCTCCAAGTAAACCAATGATAGACGGGTCGCGATGGTGAAGCTGCGGCATTGCATTGAAGAGATGTGTGATGCATCTCGCACCATTCCGTACTGCTGCAGTTGCAATATCCGTTGTAGCCATGCTATCTTGTATAGGAGTAACCTAGCATCGTCATTTTCAACAAGAACATACCTGTGACCAATGTTGAAACAGATTCCACGCTTGCTGGCTTCGTTAATAGCCTCCATAACGCCCTCGACTTCAGGGGCTGCTGTTATTATGCGTACTCCCACAGTGTTGTGGACGGTGTCGCCTGACATGAGCCAGTCTTCTGCGTCTGCTAGGTTCTCTGGACTGTAAATAGACTCAAAAGTCTTAAAGCCTTCTGAGGCAGAAATGATTAACGCAGGCGAGTGGGCACCTCGTTTGGACATCTGTAGGAACGGCCCCTCGGCATGCCACCCGAGGAGGTGTGCTGCGTGTGGAGGTGACCATGGACGAAGCAGGTCAAGAAGCTTGGGGTACAAAGTCGTTTCCTGAGTCTGTTGTATTACGCATATGTTATGCGAATGAAACACCCAAGGACCTGAAGCTTACGATAATTGTGGGGACCAAGCTGAAAATCGACAGAGAAATAAGGCGCTATGAAGGAGTGGGTGGTAGATGCATTGACAACGCACGCAGTCACACCCGTCTCAACAATCTTCTCTGCGACCAACTTCAACCCATCTCGATAAGTTTGGTCGTCGCCTTCGTAGACAGAGAAGTCGAAACCAAAGCCTCCATTGATCTGAATGTCAATAAAGCCTGGGCTGTTCAAAATGATTTAGTTGTTAACAGAAATCGAAAATACGTAACAAGAAACGTTGGTTAAAGACTCGTTCCAGTGGGCTTGCGAATTCAGGACACTCACCTCAAGACGTTTCCCCCAAGATCAATGATTGTATTCGGGCGCTCCTTGCGCAGGAAAAAGGTTCGCTGAACACGATTAATCGCTGAATCTGACCCAAATACACGTCTATAGCTTGGGCAAGGCGACCTACCTGCGCGTCCAGTATGACACCACGCCGCTCATCAATCCACAAATCCTTTTCAATTAAACCACCGTCTTCCTGCGGCAGGAAGCAATTTGTGAAGCAGATAAGGTCATTCGATGTTGGCGCTGCCATAGCAGATGACTGTAATTATGCAAGAAGCTGGACTGGCATCGAAGTACTAATAGCTGGTGCTTGGCAGAAGTACCCGGGTATTCAGGTTGACAGCCATACTACTGGACGGATCATATCGATACTCCATACCATGTCATGTGGGAGATAGTAGCGTGCATGTCAAAACACATTTGAACTCGTGAGTTCCATTAGTTTCTAAGCGTGGCAACCTCAGCCTCGAGAGATTATTCTGATAGGTCACTATCTTTACAACTATAAGGAAACCTTGGAATAGCTGACAGCCCTAGACGTTCGATGACCTCTTGTTGCAGCCACCTCGAGACTGTCGTTGAATCTATAGTCGGTGACCCACAGAAATACCGGCGCACCAACGAATACGTTCGAGTCCTCCACATAATTTTTGTCTGCGACTTTACACTTCACAGGACTCACGATTTCCTTGCGGTCCGGGCTCCTCGGAAATCACTCTCGTGGGACATTGAGATTGGTGACGGCCCGGTAGGGTGCCCTGGGTAGAGAATGTTCCAATTCGTACCTGATACCAGCGTGTAAGTTTGGATGCTGCTTATGATTCTGCATACTCCTGAAATCCGGAAGGTGGCGTTCTGCGCCACACGAGAATGGAGAGCACAAGGGGATGTCAAAGCCCTGGATCCGCCAGTGAAACTCGTCATATTTGCCGTGAAGTTGTGTGTTGCAGTGAGGACCACTGACGAGATAGGTATCCGATTCACCTCGGATATATATTGCATTTCTGTTTTACTGCAGTAAACGGCAGAATGAAACTCGTCCATTCTCTTGATGAGCGCAAATGTTCTCCGTGGCAAACGGGATGCGGTGACTTGATCAGTCTTATCAAGATATGACTTTCCATGTCACTCTTGTCACTCTCGTATGTACTTCGAGTCATCCTTTTCTTTGACATGCGCAATCACTCCACATGCCTCATACATGTTTACCGGTATACCTCTGATCAAGTCTCTGTCTCAATCAGTATATGGTTTCCTTTCCCCGTCGAATAACCTCCCTCAGTGACTGGAGTGAGCTCTCTTATTTATGGTTCCGCGTACACTTTTCTGACTATCACCTTACTCAGCCCCTTTCCCGTTCCTAAGTATGATCAGACCTTGATCAGACCGTCTTGGCCTGCACGCTCTCATGTGGCCTTTGTCGCCGAAGACCACCAATTATGGAAGGTAAAGACTGACACAGGTTCTAATGGTACTACTTCTGTTACTCACACATTCGAGCAATCGTGCTGCAATCGTGCTGACTTGAAAGCCAACACAGGATTCAAACACGTGCAATGTTCAAATTGCCTTAGTACATCGAATATTTGGTTTCGACCTCTGCGAGATCCGGAGCCTGCAACAACGTTTATCGACTTGCACGTTCGACTTGTGACCAATAGCATCTCGCAGTCGTCAGCATTCAAGACTTTCAGAAAGCGGGGCCATCTGATGCCTGGGTTTGCTTCAAGGTAAATATGTCGTAGGTCAATGGTGATGTTCTCGAGCTCGCCGACCATTTTATGTTACTCCTTGTATTAATTTTCGCTTGTTTGATACTATAGAGCACTCGTAGCACAATACACTCACTAGTAGGTGAGTCATAGGTGACTAGGATCCCGGCCAGTGAACCAGCTTGATGTAGGCATTCGCCCATGCGTTGTGGGTCCGGTTACCGTTTGCGGTGAGCGCTGAGTAGCTGCGGTCGCATATGTAGCTTGATCTCCCAGAAATCGATAACAGCATTCGGGATCATTTTTAGAGCCCATCTCCAAGAAGCACGGCCTGTGCATCATTTTTACACCCCGCTGATGGGCCCCAATAAAATTACCGGTATTTAACCTTGCGTGCCAAGAGCAAAATGTCAATCGTTATACTAGTAGTCACAAATGCTGGCAGTCTCATACTTTCAGATCTGGCTGTACTTTTGCAACATGACAAACAATCAGTGATACTTAACAAAACGCTTAGCATCTTCTCGATTACATCACCCGGCTAGCTTGATCCAAGAACAGCGCTAGCGGAACCGTTTCACATACTTTACATAAATGCACACCGCTCAAAGTGGAGCAGGAACGCTTGGCAACTCTTTCGAGTTGGTTTATCCTCGGAATCGGATCAATTGTGACCTACATGGTATATCTTTCTTCAAGGGTCACTCTCAGCGTTTTGACGTTTTTAGCAGCATGGCCCAGGTTAAATGTCATTCCTGCGCCTATTCGAATTTCTAACCCCACGTAATTTGTATCGTCACGACTCCTCCACTGAGCACTATAATGACCGCACGACGAATTCATACCACCGGAGGTGAGGTTTTTCATTACCTTCACTCGAATCGAGGTACTCAAAATATCTCCATGGACGAACAGAAGTGGCAGTTCGAGCAAGCAGCATTCAACTGCCAGCTCGTTCCCAAACAGAAACGTCCGGTGCGCTCAAGCAACTGGGGCTTGGCAGACACTTAGACATAGAAGAAGACGAGCGCGAGTTTGATGTCATTTTTCCTCCCAGAAAACGTATTAGTCATTGTGCCTCGAATGTAAGGATCATGCTGACTTTCCGTGCAGGTACGCAGAAGGAGCAAGATAAAGAAGACGAAGAGGCTCGTAGGCGGGCCATGAGAAACCTCGTGAACTCGTGGCAGGAGCGACTGCAGCTCATCAGTGTAATTGTAAGGTCATCGCTTACCTGGTGAATGACATTCACTTGATGAACAAATTCCGCGGGCATTGCACAGACGACATTCTTTGCATCCATAGAAGCAGGGATGTTAGTACCGGTGAACACTGACCCGAATGCAGCCAACGCCTTCCCAGGTCTCCTCAAAACTGCGAATGCAGGATTTTTGGGTGCATTGATCATGCACGTTTACGCAGGTAAGTTGCATGGGTTTTATCGCCAGGGCATAATGAATGACTTATTCGTGGCACGTGCGCAACACGTTCATTGCATAGCTGTCCTATCATTCCTTGCAGCCTTCCTTTTGATCCGATATAAACTGAAAGAAGCCTCAAACGAGGAGTTATTCGCAGAAGGCAGAGCCGAGGGATTTCAGATTACGGCATCTCCAGTGAATGGTACATTCCACGTCGAAGACGTCGAGAGAGATGCCCAGACCCGGACATTCAACCCGGAGAACCCGCCACAGAAAGGCATGCCAGAGGACACAGACACCAAATACGACCCCCGAGCGCTGCCGCGGATGGGATCAACACCTGCGGAACCTCCTATATTTGCCAGGGACCCACATCTGGAGCAGGTTGGCTTTTGGAATCTTACGATTTCATCGCATCTGCTGAGCCGCGTGCACGCCCTGTGCATTCTCTTCGCTGGGATTGGGTTTGCACTCGCAATCATGGGTATCCTGACTTACGCGTGGGCGCTGCAATCAAAGGAAGTCAGCATTTTTGTGACTGTGTGCTTCGGGGCCGCTGTCCTTGCGATGGGGGTGCTTTTGCTACCTGATCCCTAGGCCCGGGAGTCAAGCTCATCATGACTGTTCATTTGAACTCTGCTTCCCTGAGAAATTTATACTTCTGCATTTGTCATACCCATAATCCTCATACTTAGTCTAGTTGCACATGTACATGCTTCAAATATCTCGCACTTGAAGGTTTTTTCAAGAAACATTGTTCAGCGACTAATTCACGGAGATGTAATAAGAATGTTGCTTATTGTTCACCTGGGAGGCCATATACTGCAACTCGGCCGATAACGCAATTATGACGGATCTTGACAACTGAGAGCACGTTTATTAATGTCATTTCTGTCTCTTGAACTCCGAAACATTTTACAGACGTCAAATTTCGAGTCAGGTCTGGATCCGTAGTAGGCGCTCAACGGTAGACGGTTGGAGACCGTCTGTTCAACTCCTTTATTACATGTTGGTCTTCACTCCAAAGTTCCTGCAAATCACTGATTGCATTTTGCTTTGTGCATCTCCATTAGCTTGCCAAATTCTGTATCGTGACATCCCAAGACACCGTAGCATCAGCCTGGAAGTACATGGTCAATCGATAAGATGGTTCAGAATTACATCCAGCACGAGAAGAACACTCTCTGCATCAGGTTGACTGAATCTGTCGTCTTCCTGCGCGTTTCTGATCCGACTGGCCGGGACCGCAACCAGAACAATGAAGCGCCTGCGATGGTTCGCGGATTGCTCACCCTGAATGTCGTGAAGCCTACTCGCATCTCCAGTATCGAGATTGAACTGCAGGGGAAAGCTACTACTTCGTCGTTTGAAGGTGCGTTTAGCTTGATTCCATAGAAACCCAAAACAATCCTTTATAGGAGTTGGCGCACGCCGAATAGAGGTGACAGAGCAGTATAAGGTGTTTTCTGCATCTACTGTCTTCTTCCAAGCGGCATCGTCGCCGTCTGCCCGACGTACTGCTTCAGTTGGCTCTGGTCTTCCAGGTTTTGACTACGACCACGACCACGCCCATGATGAAGTCCACCCCGGAGAGTACAGTACCGTTCCACAACACCCGCCTCATCCTAATGGCCTTCCAAGTCCAACATTCTACACCAGGAGCGCTAGCATGGACCCGCGTCAACCTCCGTCCTCGATAAACGAGCGTTCTTTCAGCGACAACACTATTCTGCAACATGACGCTCATACACCTCTCCACCAAGACATTACACACCTTCCTCCCACTCCCCCTTATAGTCCACCCCTGAACTCCCCTTCGTTTATTGCAGATCATCGTCCCTCTCCCTCGCACTCCCACTCGGATTCGATTTCTCAATCTTCTGGTCATCCCAAACCAGAAGACAGTCCGGCACAGACGCTTGAAGACCTTCGACAAGCGCTCGTGAATAATATAGAGGCAGGCCAACCGAGTATGTCATTTTCAACTGCTTTTGATTGCTCATGTCTACACACCTTACGTGTCTAGGTCATCGTAGTTCATTCCATGGGCCTACTGCTGGTTCTTCTTCGTCAAGTATATACTCACACCGCGATGTTCCCCTCTCTCGTCGACCAAGTATTGAAGACATCTCTGAAACCCAGCAGTTGTCTCCACAGTCATCCCGATTCAGTTCCCGCACGCGTACATCTCCTGTAGAGTCGCAGAATCCAACGCAGAGTTCAACCGTCGCCTCAAATACCACAGCAGCACATGAGGATCGTGGGAGAAAATATTCCCGGTTTTCGTTCCACACGGTTGCCAATGTGATCGACACGATGGTTGAGCGTGTGAGGTCGCGTTCCCCGCGTGCTGAATCACAAAGGAGAAGCAAGAGTATCAATCGTGATGGCGAACGAGGGAGGACGCTGGACAGGGGAAAGGGGAAGTTGCCGGAGCAGCCCTCACATGAAAGTGATAAACATAAGCATTATTCTGCTTTGGGGAAAGTAGGAGAACTCCTAGGGCTGGATGAAGAACATAAAGAAGTGGGGGAAGGTTGGAAGGAATTCAAGAAAGGTGGGTTTTGATATACATCACTTCATGCGGCTGCGTGCTTACTCTTGCTCTAAGGAACATATACCTATCCAATCTCATTTACTATACCAAACAACTCGCCTCCCACCATCGAATGCGATTACGGATCTATGATTTGGAGACTCAAGGCTGAAGTGCACCGACCCGGCGCGTTCACGCAAAAGTTGACTGCACAATGCGAAGTCCTTGTAGTTGCAGCACCTTCTGAAGACGATACCGAGGACTCGGAAAATACCATCATCGAACGTCAGTGGGAGTCACAGCTACAGTATTTGATAGCAGTATCAGGACGCAGATTTCCCACTGGCGGCACTATACCCATCGATCTCACGATCATTCCTTTCACGAAAGCCAAGGTGCATCGAATATCTGTCCACATCGATGGTGAGTAGCTCAGTTGCGGTTGCCTGTTATGGAACCTGAATTGTGCAGAACGAATTGAGTACCACACACAAACGAGGCGGCTCGTGCGTTCACAGCTTGCACATCGAATACCTTTGCTTTCGCTCGAAAACGAGGTTGAGGGCGAGAGCCACCCGTTACTCCCTCTCATCTCTGACGACCCGGAGGCATTCCGAAAGTCACCTCTTTACCGACTTCTGAACGATCATGACGACGAGAACGAGATGGCCATGGCTGTAATGGGTCCAGGTCCGTGGACATTCCACCAGGAACTGCAGCTTCCTCAACACTGCTCCCTCGTTCATTTCTCCAATCGGAACAAGAAGAGCAACATAACTATCAACCACACACTTAAGATTGTCATTCGCGTCGAGCGTGGCGATCACGAGGCGACCGACCCGCAGACAAAGAAGCCGAAGTTATATGACATCTTCGTCCAAATGCCTGTGCGCATATTATCCGTCAGTTCTTTGCATATATTCCATTTCAACACACCTTTTTGAACAAGTCGTGTTTCCAGTGTCACTGTACCCCAGCGTGGATATCTCTACCCAGGTACTACGAGGTGCTAGAACGCGACTTTGACGGCAAACGTGTATCCTGTCCATGCGACCTCCGGGCCGCGCGCAGCTCACACTGCAGTCCGGACGATAGCGAACTGCACACACCCATCTCACTGAACCGCGTAGCATCGATCGACTCCACCGTGTCGTCGTCTACAGAGAATTACTCGCCGGGGGGGCACAGCGGGACACTCGTGCAAACACTCGTGGGCCGGAGCACGCAGTATGAGCGGCTAATGTCGGGAATGGAGAGTGAGGCGGGCGAGGCGCCCCCGGCGTACGAGAGTATTGATAATGCGTTTCGGTCTCAGAGGGGGCGTTTCTACCATGCTTGAGGGGTCTCAAATTTTGTTGATGCGGAATATATTAATATTTATGAAGGGCTATATGTTGGGTTCTGGTGGCGGCGATCGTTTAATATTTAATCAAACAGTTGCCACATGGTTGACTTTGTTGGAAGTATTGAAAAAGTGCTGAAGCGCTAAAGCTTAAAGACTCGATTCTTGACAGCGGCATTCACCGCGTCCTTTCGTAATTGCACTATAATACGTCTCAACTCACATCCGAAATGCATTAATGAGCACACAACCTGGCACCCCCTCCCAAGTGAAAGCTTCCACCAGGTCCTACCATACTTGTTGGCAATGGATTCATGATTTTAGCGCCAAGTCGTTGTGTTGGGCTGAGGGCTTATCGACGGCTGGAGCAAACAGGACTGCCAGTCAATAGCCTACAACGGTGGATTGCCACGATGGTAGGTCATAGCACTGCGATGATGCACCCTGTCCAGCCTGAAACGAGCAGTCGTGCAGCATTCTTGCTCATTCAATTAGACCGCGAAATACTCAAAGGGACTCAGTAATTCATCAACATGTGAGTTTGAGGTTTACTTCGCCTACCCAATGCTTATTTGGCTTTTGATAAGAGGCTCGTTCGGACCCGCCCTGCACACTCATGGTCCGACGGCCCAGCATTATCATTGTCCTGGCCCTTGGGCACGAATAGGCATGAATCAGTCCAATTCACATGGAGTCTGACCCGGCAGTAATGGGAAAATTTTGTCAATGGCAAGCCTGCCTGAGCCCACAAGGCGGCCGCGGGCCCGCGTTTAGTACACTCATGTGGGATTCAGAATAGGCAATCTCACGCTTCACCTCTTCATCATGTGGAAGCGCCCGCCAACCTCACTTTCACAGCCAAGTCTGAAAAATGACCCACTTGGAGCCGAGTACAGCATTTTGTCGGGAATATCATGGTCAATCTCAATCAACCCATCGGTAAAAGCGTGGTTGATCGATATTCTTAGGCATCACGACACATATGGGTCCTTCGTCGAGTAGCGACTGCCCGCATGGTTGTCTTGTTATCTCTGTCTGGGATTCTGTGGATTTCGAGTGCCGTTTTGCCCCGACTGGTGCTATAAATTGAGACAGGGTTTCTCGGTTGGTGCGCTCGGAATCATCAGCATGCGCCTACTCCCATCCTTTGTAGCTCTTGCTCTCGCACTGTTGGCCTCTGCCGACTCATTCCTGTCGCCTTACCGTGTTCATGAGAGACGTGGGCACATCCCCGCTGGATGGTCATACGACCGGAAGCACGACAATGAAGCTGTCATCCCTCTGCGGTTTGCTCTGAAGCAGAGTAACATTGACGCGATCGGTGACTACTTAATGGAAATCTCTCACCCAGAGTCTGCGACATATGGCAAACATTGGACTGCCGGAGAAGTTTTCAGAAAGTTTTCGCCCAGCGCTGAAAGTATTGGAGCTGTCCTCACCTGGCTTGAAGAGAACGGTTTTGACTCCTCCCGTGCCAAGCTTACTCGTAACAGAGGTTGGATCGAAGTACAAGCCACTGTAGAGGAGGCTGAGCATCTCCTGCAGACTGAGTACCATGTGTACAGTCACGAAACCGGTCATGAGCATGTTGGTGAGTAGTATTTTCAATCTTCTTATTTCGTGAACTTTACCAGTTATGTAGCGTGCGATTCATACCACTTGCCTGAGCATGTCCAGTCTCACGTTGACTTCGTGACACCTACTGTACATTTCGACGCCAAAATCTCGAAGCGCACCACCTCCGATTCCCCCGAAGGGATCGCGCGCTCTGTTGGACAGCCAGGACAGGGCACTTACCCAAAGACTACCGGAGAAGTTCAGAGTCTCTTGACACAACTAGAAGATTGTGATCAACAAATCACTCCAATTTGTTTGAGGGCTCTGTATGGATTGGTTTACGAGCCGCTGGCAGCGGACAAGAATAGCTATGGGATCGGTAAGTTATACAGCGTGACATTGGGCACACGAAGTTGACTCGGCAAACAGTGGAGTACACCCCACAGGCCTACCTCCAATCTGACCTGAATATGTTTCAAAGCACTTTCTCCCCAGACCTTGTTGGAGTTGCACCTAACATGGTATCAATAGATGGAGGTCCGTTAGAATTATAGCTCTTTGAATTCTGACAGTTATCCTTTCACCAGGCTATGCACAAACCGAATACACTGGCTTCGAATACAACGGTGAATCTGATCTTGACCTTGAGTACGCGATGAACCTCGTCACTGCCGCGCAGCCAATCACCTTATATCAGGCCGGAGATATGGTAGAGGGTAAGTGCTTCCACGTAGCATTGAGACATCGCTGAAAATGTCTAAAGGTGCCTCTTTCAACAACTTCCTTGACGCAATCGATGGCACATACTGCACCTTTGAGGGTGGAGACGATCCAACTCAAGACGCCATTTATCCTGACCCATACGGCGGAGGCTATGAGGGCCCCGAAGATTGCGGCACTGCAAAGCCTACTAATGTTATCTCGACATCGTATTCGTACAACGAAGCTGATCTGACACCCTTCTATACTGCCCGTCAATGCTCGGAGTATGCTAAACTTGGCTTGATGGGTGTTACTGTCCTCTATAGCTCTGGTGATTATGGAGTTGCTGGAAACGGTGGCTACTGTCTGACATCTAACGGTGAGTTTTCTCAGCATGCTTGTGGCAAGATATTAATTTTCTTCGTAGGAACTTATTCCCTGAACGGCACGATCTTCAACCCCAGTTTCCCAGGAACTTGCCCCTACATCACATCTGTTGGTGCCACTCAGGTCAACCCCAATTCCACGGTCCTTGAGCCGGAAGGAGCATGTGAACAAGTCATCTATTCTGGAGGTGGTTTCAGCAACTACTTTGCGATGCCTGATTACCAGAAGACAGCGGTCGATTACTACCTGACAAATTATTACCCTCAGTATCCTCCCGATATCTGGAATGCCTCAGGAACGGTGCGTGCTACTCAAGTAGTATAGTGTGTAAATGACAGCATCTAATCTCGATCTCCTGTTACAGTCCCGTGGCTTCCCTGACATTGCTGCCAATGGAGCCGTAAGTTCTCGTCGTTGAAGATCTACCAGCTGATGCTAACAGTAGGCAGAATTACGTTGTTGCTATTGATGGTACATTTGAGTTGGTTTATGGAACGTCCTGCTCTTCCCCAGTTAGTGGTGCCATCTTGACGATGGTTAATGATGCCCGTCTGGCAGTCGGAAAGAGCCCAATAGGATTCATTAACCCAACTGTGAGTGTCTGCCTCGAATCACTGTTACCTTTTTACTAACTGTTGCAATGAAGATCTACTCGCCTAGTTTTGCTGGCGTTTTCAATGATATCACCATGGGCGGAAATCAAGGATGTGGCACTGCTGGATACACTGCCGTTCCTGGCTGGGACCCAGTTACTGGACTGGGGACCCCCAATTTCCCGAAGCTTCTTGCGAAGTGGTTACTCCTTCCGTAGGCTTTGAGCTCGACATTTTGGGAGTCAATGCTACGCGGTGTACATTGTAAGCCAGTGCTAGACTGGATAATACCATGTAGACGTTATCATTATCAAGGACATTCTGGGCTTCTCATAAGCGCCTCAGCCTGCAATATGGATGCGAAATATTACTGCTGAATACTAAGTTGCCTGAAAATCGACCAACGCAACCACAGCCCTGCCATGCTTTACTTTAACTCGTCAAAGACGCGCAACGCGGTATTACTCTTCAACACTCCCATTTACAGAACTAAAGTTGTTGGCTGTTGCAAAGCCAGCGACAGCAGCGAGGCTATATGGTCATCATTTGTTTGTAAGTATTAGTATGTTCCAAACTCCACACTTCTCCCCACCCTTTCGTAGATTGAAGCGAACGTGGGGGATAAGATGTGTAGAGTCTGAATGTGCCAGGCGATCCTTGATTTGTACTCACACTCCAGTGATCAAATATTGATGTGCAGTTTCAGTGCCACGCAATATTCCTGAGGGGATGTGTTTTTCTTTCCGTCGGAAGTGAGCAACCATGAAGAGAGGATAGAGGTGTAGTTGAGGCTGCCGATTCGAAAGATTAGCCAAAGCCCCAAACCAGGTCCTTATGCTGCTGACTAGAGATTCGGACCAAGCTCACCCTGAGTAATATAAAACCTTTTCGTTGTCATCCGTGCGATACGCTAACTGTATAAATCGGCTTCCGACTCTGTCGAATGGCACGTCACCGGAGCAGCTCGAAACTTGTGATTTCGACCGTACGACACGCCCCATTGAGTACCTTGAAAAGTGACAGGCATTAGAAAAACAGAACGGTACTTAGAGGAATCGATGTGGAAAGCGTTCATGAATTGCAAGTTGTTGGTACATCAATGGAAGCAATATATGAGATAGGTGATGACAACAACCGTGATCTTAGAGACTTATACACATACAAAGGCAACATTTCGAAGGATAACAAGAAATGGGTAGCGTTCAAGACTGTCGGGCATTATTGACCAAACAAGCCCTTCACTCTCCACATGGTGTCCAAGGAAGCAAGCTGGGGGGATCCAATTAGCTGGGGTTATGGTTTATTTGATTCGACGACTTGGAGAACGCTTACCAGTTGAGCAAAACCTTCCTCTCTGATGACTTGTGCTACGATAGATTCTAGCTCTGTATGGGATAACTTGTGAAGGGCCGGAGTATCATGCAGTGATGCAACAAGCTGGGCTCGAGTTGAATTACGAACTTCTGATGGTCGACTTTCCGATTGAAGAGCTCGTGTGACGCTCGAGGGAAGTGGAGGCGGGGGCATCGTGTTCGAACTACTGAGAGTAGACGAGGATGGTTGGGAAGAATCAGGTACAGAACCTTTGGTAGAGTGGATGGAACCAGACGATGCTTGGCATTGACTGGTCTTTGGGATGGCTATCGGAGGTGTTTCTGGAGGTGTAACGAAGGTGCCGTCGTGAGATGGTGCAGCCACGGATGTCGTTTTCATAGAACTGCTGCTCAAAGCCACAGGAGTAAACCTAACTGGCGTCGATGATGCGAATGCCGGTAAATTGGATTCGGACGATGGATTTTCTGAAAGAAGTGTAGTCGGCGCAAGTCTGAATGGAGTTCCGCCCATTGATGGAAGAGCTTGTGAAACAGATGTGAGTGTACCTCGATGGGGAATGTCGTCAATAAGGCCTGGGGTAGCTACAGGAGGGACGCGAGTGACCAGAGGCTGCGGTTGTGGATTCAATCTACAAGGACAAACAGGTCGGATAGCATCAATAAACTGAGCTGCACTCGTTGCAGTGGTAAATGTGATCTGAAAGCGTCGATATACCTAGTAAAACAAAACTTGGTAAGATGTTTGGGAGCGACGGCACATATGTACTGGTTGACAAGTCGAGTCTGCTATTCTCGGGTGCAAATACCGAATGCCAACGATAGTATCCCGATAGGCAGCTCTGAGAGGAAGACCATGGTCAGGTTGCCCAGAATTCGTCCTCGAGTTTGAGATCGACGAAAAGGAGAGTAAATCAAGATCCTCCTGGAAGATTGCGCTTTTTAGTATGATTCGTTATCCGTCAGTAAGAGCCTACGAGGGTAATCTCTCTTTGATCGACCTCCGTGCTATCAGTGCTGCTATCGAAGTTCCATATAATTCGAAGTCGAACAGAGACAAGCTTTCCCGCAGAAGAAGTCTTCGCGTCCAAGTAGAGGTTAATAACGGGGTGGACGAAATGTTGCCATTCTGCATCTGAAACAGGGTTCTGAGTGGATGATAAGCTCGTAGGATATGACCGCGAATATTTTGCTAGCGGATAAGTAACGGTTTTTGTCGTGAATTGAGCCATTTCCTGAGTGCAAAAAGTTCTACCGCTATGAATCTATAGATGTTGTCAATTGACGACGAGAACGATGCGCAAACCTGTCAGGAATTAGTACAAGTCTGACTATAAAAAGTTGACTCGTAGGCTACCACTTGTCTGACGTCCGAGACTGGGTTGTGCAAACTGAGACTTGAGTACCGAACGTTAACGTTGAACCGTTCAGGAGGCAAGCGGTTCGATGTGCCGCATTGCCACCAGTATTTTTCAAAGTCCGTGATATAAAACCAATTTCCTTACACAATGCCTACGTTTCTATCTACATATCTCTCTCAACGTGTGCACAGGACATGCAAGCCACCGATGGCGGAAGATCGCTGCATACAGTTATTGTCGTCGGTAAAGTTTCCAAAGGCTCTTCGGAACTCGTTGACAGTCGTGCCTTCGACATCGACATCATGCAGTATGCTATATGCTTCAACAACTTTCCAGAATTCGTTGCTTTTACCCAGAGGATCATCCCCGCCTCACGAAGACTCCCGTGACTATGGACGAGGATGAGCGACCGCAGCGGGGCTGAGCTCGGAGTGCTGGTCACAAACAAGTGATCAGCGATGATGATTGCCTGACGCCAAGGGCGGGCGGCCAGTCAAGTGATGATGAGTAGATATTACACCATCCTTTGTATTTTTTTTCGTTTGATTGTTTCCTCCATTTATATGACAGCATCGTTTCTTGGAGTACTGTTAGTATTGGTACACAATATCATCCCGTATGCATTGATTCTTGAGACAACTTAAATCAGAATGGTACCACTAAAAGCGAAAGACAAAGCCTGCTCTTAACTTAATCGAATATCTAGTCTATGCATCGATGATGATTTGAACCCTTCAACCAACACACCGGTTGCAAGATGACGCTTCGGGATATCGTTAACGGTAAGCTCACTCCGAGTCAGGTCGGCCCGGCGGGTGTTCAAACGTTCAAAGTTCAAAACGTTATGACACGACTATCATGCACATGATTGACGGTACGCGTACCATGTGTAGGTCTGGAATCCAACTTTGACATTCATCTTGATTTTGGTCAGTAGGCCACTTACAGTAAACTTTCACATGTGCAGCCTCGTGCCCTCCAGCTGGTCGGACCTGCAGCCAGACAAGCGCCCGTTTATCTTTTCAACTTAACCGCAAAGTTCAACCACGAGCCATCCGTCAAGCTCTGATATATAATCGAAATCAATCGTCCATTATATCTCAAACATCCTGTGATATCTCTGTTGCTCGATCGTTTCACCATCACCACTGAAACCCTTCTGATTTCAAACGAAGTTACAGCCTAGACATCGACTCCTCAATTACCCTCTGAGACATCCATCCCCATCGTGATTTTTAATTGCAGCGTTGAACTGAACCAGTGCTTCCCCGACTTGACCTATTCCAACTCTCATTTTGTGTCGCATTCTCACATCAACCTCTGTCGATAAGCGACTGAGATCGATGTAAATACCTCCTTCCCTTATCACCTAGATCTCTCGCTCTCTAACCCGACTGACAGAGCTTCTAGCAATGGCTGAAGGAACTTGGGAGAAGCTGTCCCAGGTCGCTGTCCTGGGCGCTGAATATGACTCCCCTGAACGCCAGCCCCATCCGAAATGTTTGGAAAGGACCCGAGTGAACCTTCTCAAATTCATCTACGAATTGTCGGACAAGCGAGAGAAGAGTCAGATCATTTGGCTGCATGGCACGGCGGGCGTCGGAAAGTCTGCCGTGGCATTCACTGTGGCTGAGAGGATGAAAGGTCTGATGATGACGGAGACGACGAAAATCGAAACAAGGCTCGCAGGAACATTCTTTTTCTCGCGCAAACACACGCAGCGCAGCACAGCTGGTCATTTCTTTGTGACCCTTGCTTACCAGCTTGGGATCAATTTTCCCGACGTCAAGAACGACGTGAGCAGAGCTATCCGCGAGAATCATGCGGTTCTAGACTCCAGAAAATCTCTTCGCGCACAGATGAATGCGTTATTTCGCCGACCTCTCTGGCACCTGAAATCCAGTCTGCGTAAGTGTCCGCCCCCGGTGTTTGTTGTAGATGCCCTCGATGAATGCGAACGTAATGCCGTCGCCGATCTGATCTCCCTCCTCGGGGAAGCTCTTCGTGATCCTGAACTTCCCGTGTTCCACATTCTGCTCACGAGTCGCTTGGAGGAGCATATCCGTGAAGCCATGCGAAGAGAAGAAATGCGCACACTGGTGTATGAGATACCGGTGAACACTTCTGGGGAGGGCGTCGCTGGCACCATTTCATTAGACGGCGAAGATGTTGACAATGACATCTATATCCTCTTACAGCATTCTTTCATGAAGCTGCGAAGTCGCCGTCCTGATTTCCCTCGGCCCACTGCAGATAATCTTGCGCGGCTGGCGAACCGAGCTGGCAGACGTTTCATCGTGGCATCTACAATGATGAAGTTCGTTGATGACGGATACAATGACCCCCGGGATCGCCTTGAGCTCATGCTCGAGCTGACCAATGAACTGCTACCTGGGACGGAAGTGTACGAGCTATACAACCGCATCCTCTCCACCTGTTCGAACCCCGATCGGGCATACCAGCACTTGTCCATTGTTGCTGCCCTCGCAGACCCTCTGCTGATCTCACAGATCTCGAAGCTCCTTGGTCCCGGTCGAAACTGCGATGTCGAGACCACGCTGAAACAGCTACGTTCTTTCATGGATATCCCCGCTGACAGCAGCCATCCCGTGAATATCTACCACTCGTCCATTCGAGACTATGCTTCAGACTTCTCAAACTGCAGCCTCCATGGACTACAGCCCATCCCACCACATTCCCTGCTTGCTGATTCCTCTTTTCGTTTGATGGTTCGAGACATGCCAAAACACACTGCTCTCATGGATGCGCTCTTAGAATTGAAGTCGCAGAATCAGGCTATGCAACCCTGTGACCCCCGAAACTTGCAACAATCGTTAGCCTCCATCGTTGAACCACCAGAGCCGCTGCAAGTTCTCATGGGACTGTTATGGCTTCGGGGAGCTCGCGGGTCGGGTTTGCGGTCCTGGCTAGGGACTTTGGACGGACATGCGTGGCTGCAGACACAATGTGGGGAAGACTATTTGCAGACACAGGAGGGGCAAGACTGGCTACAGACCCGGGCCGGGGGGCATTGGTTGCAAACCCACGCGGGATGCACTTGGTTGCAGACAGAAAGAGGGCGAGGGTGGTTGCAGAGTGGGCCAGGGTGGCTGTGGACTCAAAGACGGGGACATGTCGCTGGAGACTCTGGTGAGTATATGCCATTGGAAACGTGGCGCGGGAAAGCCTCGTTGGAGACCGTCAGCGAGCAACGCTGGCTGCAGACCCAGACTGGACAAGAATGGTTGCAGACCCAGGAAGGGGGAGAGTGGCTGCAGACCCAGACTGGAGGAGAGTGGCTGCAGAGCCGACGCGGGGAAGAGTGGCTTCAGACCTCGACCGGACAAGTGTGGCTGCAACAGACCTCGAGTGGCCAAGAATGGCTGCAGAGCCAGAGGGGACGAGAGTGGCTGCAAACTGAGAGCGGCCAAGAATGGCTACAGACCCCGAGTGGCCAAGGATGGCTGCAAACACATCGTGAGTGGCTGCAGACCACGCCTGGACGAGAGTGGCTTGACACCAAGAGCGGGCGACGATGGCTGGATGCGGATAGGAGGCGAGAGTGGCTAGACACCGAGAGCGGGCGACAATGGCTGCACACTAAGTGCGGGCAAGAGTGGTCACAGACACCGAGCGGGAGGGAATGGATAGAGACATCGAGCGAGGGGGAGAGGTTGGACACATCGAGCGAGAGCGTGTTTCCGGACAAGTGGCTGGAGATACCACACACCCGCTCGCTGGAGTTGCTGGAGCCACCGAACGGGAGGGAGTGGCTGGACACATCGAGGGGGATGGAGTGGCTGGAAACACCGAAGGGGAGGAAGTGGCTGGACACATCGAGGGGAAGGGAGTGGCTGGAAACACCGAGGGGGATGGAGTGGCTGGAGCCACCGAGGGGGCTGGAGTGTCTGGAGCCACTGATGTGGATGGGGTGGCTGGACACATCGAGGGGGAGGGAGTGGCTGGAAACACCGAAGGGGAGGAAGTGGCTGGACACATCGAGGGGAAGGGAGTGGCTGGAAACACCGAATGGGAGGGAGTGGCTCAAAACACCGAGGGGGAGAGAGTGGCTGAACACGCCGAACGGGAGGGAGTGGCTGGGAACACCAAATGGGAGGGAGTGGCTGGGAACGCCGAACGGGAGGGAGTGGCTGGAAACATCGAACGGGAGGATATGGCTGGGAACGCCGAACGGGAGGGAGTGGCTGGAAACACCGAACGGGAGGGAGTGGCTGGAAAAACCGAACGGGAGGATATGGCTGGGAACTTCAAACGGGAGGGAGTGGCTGGAAACACCGAACGGGAGGGAGTGGCTGGAAACACCGAACGGGAGGATATGGCTGGGAACTTCGAACGGGAGGGAGTGGCTGGAAACGCCAAACGGGAGGGAGTGGCTGGAAACACCGAACGGGAGGATATGGCTGGGAACATTGAACGGGAGGGAGTGGCTGGAAATGCCGAACGGGAGGGAGTGGCTGAAAACACAACACGGAGTGGCATGGCTGGAAACACCAATCGGGCATGCATGGCTGCACACCTTTTACGGGCGACAATGGCTCCTGACCCAGAGTGGGCGAGAGTGGTTACTGATCCAGAGCGCGCAAGAGTGGCTCCTGACCCCAGGAGGGCGAGAATGGCTGCATAATACTCCAGGCGGACAAGAGTGGCTGCGGACCCCAGGTGGGCTGCAGACTGAACATGGTCAAGAGTGGCTCCAGACGAAGAGCGTGCAAGAGTGGCTGCTGACCCTGAGCGGTCGAGAGTGGCTGCAGACCATGGGCGGACGAAAGTGGCTGCAGACCAAGAGAGGACGAGAGTGGCTACAGACCCCCCATGGTCAAGCATGGCAGTTGACCCCTGCGGCTTCTGTCTGGGTGACGATGGAAGACTTTTCTAGCGCATTGGAAGCAATCGGCGAGTGCACGATCAGCCCACGATTGCCTTTCTCGCCAGCTTTTCAAGTAATCCAGGAGTTTAAGAGCTTACCAGATTTCTTGATGTTTCCGGCATTCCTGGCGTTAAGGCCCCAGGATCATTCTACCTCTGCATCCCTACAAGATTGTCCAGACATCGAGGTCATTCATACTATGACCGCGTTTATGATTTTCGCAAACGAAGCACAGGATCAAAGTCAATTATCTTCTGACGCCCTGAAGTATGCATGTCAAAACTGGGTTTTCCATCTCTCGCGAGCTCCAGCCTGGGGTTCAACGGACCGTATGCTCAACCATGAATTCAAGCTCTTCTGGGATCGTTGCCTCCTCTCCTGGCTTGAAAGGCAATGGTGTTTGAAGGGCTTGCAGTCCTGCTGGAACCTCGCCAGGGAAATGGCGGGGAACACTAAACGGATCGGGCGAAGTAACAGGACGAAACTGTGTATTTCTAGAACGTTATATGGAAGAGCAGATGATGGTAGGTAGGAGACCCGAGTCTGGCGTGAAGTGATACAAATGGGCGTTTTATATATGGGGAAAGTCCACGTGATGTGATACGGTAAGCATGTGATAAGCGTCCCAGCTTACACCTGCCTCCTTATGTTATCGGAAGGGCAGAAACTTGCACAGGTGTGTTCTCATAACTTCTCAATGATTTTCGTCTATCCGGCACCTGACCTACGCACAAAGGAACGCCTCATCGAAACTACAGGGTCATCTCAGTCCCAAGTCTGAAACTGTCGATTTCATGTACTAGATGTCATGCTGTCTTTTTATCTTGCATTAACTTTTGTTTACGTCGCTTGTGTATTTTCAGAATTTGTGATGTTGGTATTGAATGTTTTCCTCCTTTTTTCAATCTTGATTTTGTCTACTAGTTTTCTGCGAACTCTCGATCTATCTTCGCCACATACGGTGGACTAGTACTGACAGAATGATCACTCGTTCAATGATATGATTGAACTGCTCATTGACTGGTGGTTATTGAAGCGCAAGTACGAGATGAAGACTCCGGTGGAACACTGCAGCTGATGACTTACTAGAGCACATCAAAGGCGAATACCAATCATAATTACTACACGAAGTGCACGTGCAGCTGAGCGCCTTAGGTTTTGGACGGATATTTGTACGATTGATAAATTGGTATCAGGGAAAGCACTAGTGCTATAGCAGGGCCACAGAGGACCACTTGGTGCCAGTCAGTGCCAGTTCTGGCTGGAATGTGAATGATACGACGCCAACGCCGTGGGTCGAGTGTCGAGCTGGCAATGTATTGTTATTGCACCAAGACGACTCAAATCACAATCGGAGGTGGGTGCGCGCGCACATCTCCGAACCCTGATCTTGAATTGGGCCAACAATAAATTGGAAAAGGGCTCATGTGCTCGGCGGCAACGATCCGTATATAAGTGAGGTTGCCTTTACTAATGAGAAAAAAGTCTTGGGATAATCTTATAGCCTTGCCCAACAACAGGGTTGAGACGAGACGAAGTATGAGTTACGTGGTTTTAGTGAATGTCGAGCTAATGAGCTTCAATAATATAGAATTCTTTTCAGTAACTAACCAATGGATCTCGCCCCTTCCATCCCTCTCCTAACGGAATCAAGGACTTCGAGATTCGCTTTTCGTTGCTCTTCTATCGGCCCATCCAACGCATCTTCCCACCACCTCTCGTCTTCAGGCACATCGCGCCAGCCTCCTTTCAGAAATTTCGCAAACGCAGGCATACTACCTGATGGAGCGACGCGCAATGCTTGGGCCTTCTTCCAGTGAGGTGGAGGGTTCGTCGACGAGAACGGCGCGGCAGAAGCAGTACTGGGAGGTTTCGAGAAACCTTCGCATGGGAGAATAACGCTAGGAGGCACTGTAATGCGGCCGTGCTTGAAGCAAATGTAGGAGATCGCCACACAGTGAAGTACGGCACCGTCGGGCTCAGGTATGTTTGACTGTGCGGCAGCCAAAGCTTCTATTTCCTTTTTCGTCTTTTCAGCTTGAAGGTTGTAGTCCGCCTCAGTCGCATCGCCGGGGGTTGCAGGAGTGGTCAAGTCTTCCGCAGGCGTGCTCAGCAAAATCCGAGGAAAGTCACTCGATGTTGTCAGTGTCTTTGATGGTCTGGCGCTATCATTATTAGTCCCCAGTTGCTGACCTGATCCGTCCACATGTAGTTTATGGGTGGCATTACTATGCTTCTTCTTTGTGAAAGAGACGTAGCGAGCAATAACGAACATCTTGTCCATGTTAGATTATTTCCTGGGTGAATTCTATAAGCGCTAAGAGCTCACCCATTTATGATCCCATGCCCCGATGGAGAGTCTTATCTCGTAGCTCCTCAAGAACGGTATTTCTCGAATGAAATGAAAGTGAGTAGCTACATGTGGAATGAATATCGATTGAGAAATATGTGGAGTGAAATTGACGCACAACCCAGAGCCATCCACCCGCCACTCCTTGCGAAAGCAGGGAAAGCTTTCAGAACCAGTTTCAAACGGGCTGCGTCAAGGGCCTGAGCAAAGAAAAGAAGGTTGTCATCATTGTGTTACTTGAATGACTGAGTGTAATGAGCCCTTACCTTCGCATAACTGGAATTGCTGAGGTGTCCATTATAATCGGCGTCGTCCACACCTAAAGTCAGGTGAGTTTACATTTCATGAGAGACTTTGGTTGAAACGTACTCGTCCAGCCATGATGAATGGTCACGAGCTCGAAGGGGTTTGCGCCAACTGGACATAAACCTTCGCCCCAGTCGGCAAGGATCTTTGCCTTAAGCTCTTTGGACTTGAACAGGATGCGAAGTCGTAGGAAGTAGTACTGGAGACGGAGTCGCAGGACTGGTAGGAACACGCGAACTCAAAGAAGCCATTGCGTTTGGTAGACTCATCACTAGCAAAAACGAATGCGTACTCACTGTGCCAGGCAAACGGTAGAGACCGAACATTCATCAATAGCACGACCAGGAAGATATATTTGGAGGCCGACAGCACTAACGTCGTCGTCAACTGGCTGCGCGGTAACTTCTTCAAGTTAAAAACTGGCATCGAGGGTATCCTGGCCAGAAGGCGCAAACTGTCGTGAGACTGCCGGCCCAACATTGTGTCCCGAGTTCGATGCCGAAAGGTGAGTTGTAGTAGGGATTGTATCGCGCGTTCGATGGGACTGGCAGTTGTCAAGTTGGAATGATGCTAGGAGTCAGGACTAGAAGGACCGACCCAAATCCAGGGCTTGCTGCAGCGTTTCGCATATGATACTTTTCAGAGGATCGGATAATGGTAATAACAAAGTTGATGAAACCAGTGCACCTTGCACGTGCTACGGCACATTTCTATTCCCTCGCCGAGTCGCGGGTGACAAGGTTTTTCCACGCAAGTACATTAACCGGCTGTCGGTCTGAGCTTTTAAAGATTTCTTCACAGGCGTTCCCGACAAGGCATTATTACTCTGAGTAGCGCAACTGGACAGCATCAGGTAGGTTGGGCTGGACCGGGCATTAACTCGGGGTGGGACTGAGTCTATGTAGCCCGAGCAAGTGGAGCCGCTCAAGAGGGCGAATACTCTTCGAGCAGCTTCGAAACGAAACATGTATTGGTACCTCATAATGCAATAATGCTCGATTAAAAAGGAACTAAAAATGTGAAATGCACTGCGAACACAAATTGAAGGAAGCGGTGGGTGGATCTAAAGAAAAAGGTGCGAGTGAGGAAATGCGAGGTACAACGAACTCGACGATGTGACAGAGAAGAAAGCGAAGAGCGCGTTCGCTCAGCTGGACGCATGGTGCCGGGACATTCTGGCAAGCTACATCACCAGCACCTGTACAGCTACCATGTTAGTGGGGGAGGGCTAGTGTAGGGGGGGCTGTACGACATTGCTAACGATGACATCAATGTTGCCTAGGTGTGAGCTACGGTAGTGTACTGAAGGCGTCGGGGTGTGCGAACTGAATTAGCGATTAGTAAGTTGAATAACCACAGAGAGTCATGGAAGGAGCTAGTCCCAAGGTTTGAAATTTCTGAACTACATGAGAAACTGAGTGGCGGAGGATGAACTGGGATGGATTAGAATAATTTTCAAAACAGTTAAAAGAAATAGGATGACTCACCGAATAACTTCAGATAAACATTTCCTGATGAATGCTAAATCCCTTGTATACGCACGTTCAGAAATTCGAGCGGTGCATGTTGGCATTTTGTGATGGCTGGTGCGGGGATAGGGGGACTGTGGTCAGATCTTCCTCTGAGTGTTGTTGACTTGACATCGCGCTCCAATCCTTGGAGAGCTCAAGACGCTTATCAGTTCGTGATCTTGTTTTGATAGGTAGGGAGAGGGAGTTCCTTGTCTTTAGGGAAATAATTAAATTGCATGGGCCGATTCCATCGCAGGAATATGGCCAGGATTGGCTGTATTAGCACCCACGAATCGGTAGGTACCCTGTTTCCCTTTTTCTAATCGAATTTGCCAGCATGGAGTTGAGATCGGGCGTGGAGCCTCGAGCCTCTAGAAGCTGTGATAGAGATGGAAAGCTCTATGAGTGCGGAGGACGGGAACCATCTTTGACTCTGGCGCTAATTGGAGGGTTGACAACATCTTTGGCGGCTGTTGGCGCGCGTAGCAGGAGGCGCTACATAGGATGTAGAGATTCATGCTTCGCCGCACTAAGTATAGGGCCTGGGCCTTGGTAACTTATTTTTGTGTCCGTAACCTGTGCACTGCATTTATGCCATCAACGCTAGCGTCGACCTCCACGCCGACATCAGTGGAGGCACTTGAGTTGTCTATTTCAGACTGCCTTCTTCGTGTATCCTTCGTGCGGGTCCCTTGCCGATGTATATCGCTATCGTCGTGCCAGAAAAGTGGTTATAGAGAAACAAGATACAGTCAGTAATTTGACTTCCCTGCCGCTCCCTTTATTCCACTGCGAGCTCACCATTTGAAACTAGGCTTCGTGATGAACCAAATTTGCTGAACTCCACGGATTGTAATCAGCGAGCGCTCAACAAGTTCACAGCGTTAAACAACTTGTCACGACTCGTGAATCGCGATTCGTTTATCAAGGTTCAAACTCCGGTTGTGCGTGCATGCCCGTGCATGCCCAGACAAGCTGTCCTATGCTTGATACCATGGAGAGAATCAAGCTTAGCCTCCCTGCTCTCAAGCGCGCTTCTTTCAAGGTCACCGTGGCAATGTGTCCAAAATTTCTAAAACTTACAATGATATCGGTGCGCAAACGCAATTTGCTGCGGGCTCAGTACTATTAGTACTATGTACCTCGAAGTTACTCTGGGCGCTCCGCCTATGGATGTACAGGCATTGGGTTCTGATGGGGTTGTTTTGGCGGGCTCCACAGTCGTACAATCGCGTCTTAAGAACAGACTGAGTACACGTAGAATTCATGTGCGACGACGACAAACATGGGCGCGTCGACGTGTCGGCAGTGCGCTTGAGTTCACTGCTTGAGCAAAACACAATCGGGTTTTGCCGTTAATTGTGATGCCATGACACGCCCTAAGCTTTATTTTATCAGAATGCAGCTACTCCGCACTGGGCCTATCTCAACCTAGAGGACTGGTGAGAAAGTTTTATACCACAATTATATATCCAGACCATGTCATTAATGCGACGTAAAGGCGCAACCAACGTAACCCACTCCAATGCAAATGATGGGTGGTTCGATAACATTACGTTCTCACGATCTTTCTGAACACGAGTTTTACAGTTCTGATGCATATACCAAGTTTGCGTCTATAACGATCGAATTTCATACTGTGCAGTGATACATTATATATAGCCTCCCTCTTCTGGGTGTCAGCTTTCAAAAGCAACTCGAATCATGCCCACCATGACGACGTCCGAGTCTGCAAATTCCGTCTCTCAAGTCCCCGAAAACTGTCGAGCTCCCAATAATCCTATCCTTGCGTTGGCGTTCAAAATATTGTGCATTATTGCAGTCTCTCGGGAGTCTCTCGACCATTGGAAAGATACAAAGAACAAAGACTGGAAGGAACATGTCTCAATTATGGTCAATCGATTCCAGAACACAAACGTCACTGTATGTCATATAATCTGACTTAGCTTCATGGCTAGCGTTCAATGACCGGACTTTAGGCCGGGCTCGTACTCGCAACTACTACTCTATTCCTGTCGTCACCACCTCCTGAGGAGCATTTGATGGCTTATAACTCTTCAATCTCGTACATCTTCGCCATGGTTTCATTTGATGCTGCATTGCTCAGCGTGATATCTGGATCTGCTGTGCTTGTTATCTATGAAACTAGTACCGCTCACAAAGACATGGAAACCCTCAAGGTGAGTGAGTTTGTTTGGGCTGGCTCACCATTTGACACACAGCACAGCACATGCCACGATACCAAATCATCGCGCTGCTCGTATGGTTAGCATACCCCTCGATCTGTCTGTCAGTCGCTACTTGCTTTTTGTTTGTGGGTAAGTGAGGCACTAGGTGTGTTTAGATCTACTTATGAGTATGGCGTTTCGTTTGCTGCAGCTATCTTTATCGCCTGCTTTGGGTCTGACAATATCGTTGTCAACATCATAACTATCTTGGCTTGTGTGGCCTTCCTTTCAAACGGAGCCCTTACGCTCTACGTTTTTGCCGTTGTGGGCAGAAAGTAAGCTAGTAGCACTCTTGCTGGTTCTGCCAGTCTCACTGTGCCTTGCAGGCCGGCCGGTGATAAAAAAACCTCGCCCACAAAAGTTATCGACAGGCATCATGCTAGTATAGGTGCTGCATGCCTTCCGCTTTGACGGTGACGACTGGGTTATAGTATGGTTGATCGAAGCATTGGCTGCGCTGCGAGCCAAAGGGGGTGACTTTAGCACGATCCTGGACAAGACGACAATGTCCACCCGTGTGGACAGCGCACATTTAGTGACCTCAATCTACCCAGCAAGGAGTGATGTATGATGGTCATTTTCCGGTTTACTTTCACTGAAGGATTTATGAGTTTGCCACCTACAACTTCTACCATTCTGTTAGATATTCAGACCAACGTGTATATCAGAACTAGAATCGGTGATTAATACGAAGAATCATTCACATTGGAATTTAGAGCCCGTTTCATACGCACATTAACCAGGCACTTGAAGGATCGATTCGCGACATCCTGTTCAACCAACGCATAAAGTGATTAGATGACATGTACAATGCGGCAATTACTATGATCAAGTTAACGTAGGACCACAGACCCACATCGCTTTCTTCCTCATACTCCCCAGTCGAATTCGATGACCCGACTTGTCTCCCGGGAGAGGTGCGTCCAAGGGCTCGAGTCCATTATCACCAGTCCCAAATACACCATGCCTACCATTTCTACTTTCAGGTTCCGGTTCAGGAGGATGGTGTCTGGGTCATCCGCATATTCCTGGAGTTCTTCTTGCGTACTTTTTAAATGGGATATGGGGTTTTGAAGACGACTGTTCTCTGATGTTTAATGTTCAAGTTGTTCCTTGGATGAGCTTGGATATGCGTCTCCGAAATCGTGATAACATACCATCGGCGGAAACTTCGGGGTTAAAGGAGATAGCTTGCTGAAACGGGTGACGTGGAGTAAATTCCATCGTGCTCCTTCAAGTTGGTGTGTGAGTCCTTCCGCATGAAAGATACATAGCCGGCCAATGAGAATGTCTTTCGCGTTGGTCTCTAACACACGCGAGCGATTGATTTTACTATATAGTGTGACGAGACATCATCGCTCCTTGAGGGCAAGACTGCCAATCGTGTTCGAGAGATCTTGGAACGGGCGGCTCAGCGCTTATTTTCTGACGACGTAGGGCTTTACCCACAATATCGGACGCGTTTTTACGTGGGTGTGCTACCCCCACTTGCACGTATTGTGCGCAACATGAGTGAGGCAGAAGTGAGCTTACCCCCGCAGCTGGATAGTGCCACGATAGAACCTAGGCTATCGTCACGATTAGCGCAGGCATGGCACGTGCATAGTATTCGGCTTGCAGGACATACTATATACCAACCTCAATGCAGGTTTGTGGAACAGACTGCAAGGACGCGAAGGAGTAATGGTGTGCTTATGAACATGGGACTGGAGAGCGATGACGTGAAAGAGCTTGCTAGTGCGTTGTGGTCATGGGAGCTCATCAACGGGTACGGGAATGGCTGAGAAACGATATCCTATTCAGAGACAGTAGTCCATGGCAACCCGAGTAACTTTTCCGTGGAATGCAAAGCGAAATCTAGGTTGGGAATCAAGCATGTGTTATTTGGGACTTGTCTGGGAGACTGGGACGCGTCCTAATGGAAGTTTTCGGAGTGGGACATTCTGTGCGCAAGCAACTGTCACGATATTAGTAACAGATGCTTCAGGACCGAAAGTCAGAAGCTTTTGTGCGTCTTGTGCGACCTGAAACGTGGGGTATTGCAAGCTCCACTTATCAAAAAGAAGAGCGATACCGTGCACAATTCCTACTATGGGTGTAAAGAATATGAGATCTCGCGCTTCAAGTTGAAGCACATGGGTGAGGCCTCTTACTGGCTAGCACCAGGGAAAATCGTCCCAGCCGGTTGCCCTGTGCGAGGGTACATAAATAAAAGGACTAGTCTTTCGAAAGAATCCGCATAGATATTGAAGAAGGGGAAGGGACTGGAGGTAGCTGGGAGATTTATATGATCAATCTCTGCAAGCTTGTGTTGCACTTTCAGAAAATCTCGGCACAGGAAGGTCGGCTCCGACCCGGGAGAGCCCGACAAAGTCAGAGTGTCTGTGTGGCTGTGCAGCCCCACAATGTTGGTTCAATCGATCAAGTTATGGCACACTTTGAAAATCTACTTCTGGGAACCTTTCCTTTTGCCTGTACAGGCTACCTCATGCTTGATTCCCAAGCAACTTACGGGCGATTTAAAGATTATTGAAAGGTGCTCCTGTAATCAACTAACGATCACAGGCTTCACCGTAACAGCTCGTCCCTGTCGAAGAACTAGGTTGATCTGCGATAGGCAATACCAAAAGCAGAGACCTTTCTGGTGCCTCTTCTTGACTGTGGACGGTATAATACAGGAGTATCTCATCCATGTGTTTCTCGGGGAAACAGCTCGCAGTGTGGGAGCACTTGAGAGGGTGTCTCATCGAGGAGACTCTGTTTCGCGTGCTTACAATCTAATCCTGGCGCATAACCATGCTGCCTCTGTGCTCGAGAAAGTTATAAAAGATATGGCTGGTGGTTGATTTTGTTGTCAGCTTCTGGTTGTCTCGGTCGTCGACATGCGCTGCTCATTGACCACCTTCGTCACCCTCAGTCTCGCAGTAGCCTCCTTGGCGAGGCCCGCTCTCAGCCCATACAATGTGCATGAGAAGCGCAGCGCCATTCCTGCTGGATGGTCTCATACTCGAAGGCACGAGAGTGCAGCAACAATTCCTCTGCGCATTGCTCTGAAACAGAATAACCTCGAATTCATCGATGAATATCTTCACGATGTTTCTCACCCGAAGTCATCTAACTATGGCAAGCACTGGAGTGCAGGGGAGATCGCACGAAAATTTTCACCTTCAGAGGAATCCATCTCCACCGTTAGAGACTGGCTTGTTGAGAATGGGCTAGCGAGCGAGCGCATTCGCGTAAGTTCCACCAAGGGTTGGATTAACGTCGATGTTACGGTCGAAGAAGCGGAACGGCTCATGAACACCGAGTACAATGTTTATACTCATGTTTCTGGACAGGAGCACGTCGGTCAGTATCTTCGTAGAGGATACTATTGTGACGCTCACTCATCACTTTTTAGCTTGCGAGGCCTATCATCTCCCTGAGCAGATCAGTGCTCATGTTGATTTTGTCCTACCCTCCGTCAGCTTCGACACGAAACTCAAGCGTCGATCTGGAAGTCCGTCGGAACCCGCTCACTCACTCGGTCAACCTGGTGTAGGAATCACCCCCAAGACTACTGGCACTATTTCACAGCTAGTGACTGAGCTTGAGCAGTGTGACGAGTACATCACTCCGATCTGCTTGAGAGCTCTATATGGACTTGTATACGAACCTGTTTCTACTGACATTAACAGCTACGGCATCGGTATGGGTTCTATTCCATTGGTAACCATGTGAGCTAATTCATCACCTAGTGGAATACACTCCTCAGGCGTACTTGCAATCCGACCTGCAAATGTTTGCCATGAACTATTCTACTGATCTCATCGGAAAGGAGCCAGTCATGGTTTCCATTGATGGAGGTAATTACCTTAAGCGTTCTTCATTGATCAAACCATAAAGACATGCTGCAGGGTATGCACAGACCGAGTACCAAGGTTTCGACTACAACGGCGAGTCGGATCTCGATCTCCAATATGGTATGACATTGGTCACTGGCAAGCAAAACGTCACTCTTTATCAAACTGGTGACATGGTGGAAGGTAGGATGAGAACAGGAGAAAACGTCGTAAGCATATCGCTGACCTCATTGACAGGGGCTTCTTTCAACAACTTCCTCGACGCCATTGATGGGTCATACTGTACATTTGAGGGCGGCGACGATTACTCTGTGGATTCCGAATATCCTGACCCATACGGTGGGGGTTATGAGGGTAAGTCACTGTCTTTCTTCGATCTGAAATACAATAAGCTTGAATGCTTGGATAGGGCCCGAGGACTGTGGTACTGTTACGCCCGCATACGTTATATCAACATCATACGGGTACAATGAGGCTGATCTCACTCCGTTCTATGCTGAGCGCCAGTGCGCAGAGTATGCGAAGCTTGGCTTAATGGGTGTTACCATCCTGTACAGCTCTGGAGACGACGGTGTTGCTGGTAATGGCGACTATTGCCTGAACCCCGATGGTATACCTTGAGTTCAATTTTCACTTCTTTCTTCTCACACGACAACAGGCACTCAGACCGCAAACGGTACAATCTTCAATCCCACTTTCCCTGGTGTCTGCCCCTACGTCACATCTGTCGGCGCTACCATGGTCAAACCAGGTGCAAGTGTCCTCGACGCTCAACCTGAAATGGCTTGCATGGAAGTCATCTACTCTGGTGGAGGCTTCAGTAACTACTTTACGATGCCCTCGTACCAGAAGACCGCTGTCGATTACTATCTGGAAAATTATCCTCCCAACTACCCCGCAAGTATCTGGAACTCGACTGGCATGGTAAGTGCCAGAGTGAATGTGATATGTTCAGTCAACTAAAGCCAGCTATCAGTCTCGTGCTTTGCCTGACATTGCTGCCAACGGAGCTGTGAGTGTCTGTCACAAGTTGCATGGATACGCGGGGTTTGACGTTTATTATTTCCCGTCAGAACTACGTTGTCGCTGTCGACGGTGAATTTGAGCTCGTGTACGGAACTTCCTGTTCTTCGCCAGTCAGTGGCGCCATCTTTACGATGATCAACGATGCCCGTCTCGCTGCAGGAAAGAGCCCGATTGGGTTCATTAACCCTACGGTATGTTCCTGCCCTTTTGCCCTGGCTCAGTTGATAATTTATGGTGTTAGATCTACTCTACTGATTTCGCAGGTGCTTTCAATGACATTACCGAAGGGTCAAACCCGGGCTGTGGTACTGAAGGTTACAACGCAACCGTTGGATGGGATCCAGTTACTGGTCTTGGTACTCTCAACTTCCCTGTATTGCTCGAGAAATGGCTGGCTCTTCCATAGAATACGAGTATCGCGTTTAATAGTCCTACCATCAAGTAAATCCGCATTCCTGTGTTTCATAATTGGCTCAATAGAATTTTCTGGTCTTGACCTCTGCCTCCGCCCTACATATCCGGTCAGATAGCATGGCCAGATGCCTCGCACTTCCTCTGGCCCTCAGGAAGCTCTGATTTCCAAGTATGGCTCAATCGTATGGTGTGCATCCGAACACATCCATGTCATGGGGACGGCATCCACGCACTTACCTATCGCCTGCCGACACCCTTTTCGTCCATATTCCAGCACACTAAACGAGAATGACTTCATTGTTTGTCACAGCACCTTCCACATCGAGTTCTGCTTACGGGGTATGCTAGGTTTGTAGAACAAACTGCAAGGACGACGAGGAGTGATAGTGTATTTATGAGCATGGGCCTGGAGAGCGATAGTGTGAAAGAGTTTGCTAGCGCGTTGTGGGAGATCGTCGGTGAGTACAGGAACGACAGGATGGATGAAGGACTGAGAAACATCCCATTCGGAGACAGTAGTCCGCGGTAACCCGAAACAAGTCGTATACGATTATGCATGGATACTTATATATAGGTCAATCAAATACAGGCTGTGTACTCAACGAATCCTCGAATCTCAGCAATGGAGCAGCACTGTACTCCTATCCCACGTTAGGTTGATGTCCGATTCATCCAGAGAAACAAAGGTTAAATTAGGATATTTTACCCTGAGGTCCTGTTTGCGTCTTGCAAGGCGGTCTTCCGTGGCAATTCCACTGCGTGACCCAGCTGAATACGATGATAGTCGCAAATGCTGAATGGTGGATGGAAGGGGTAGGGTCAAAAGGGCGTCCATTATCATCTGGAACACACAGTTTAGCCCGAATAGAGGAGGAACGATTTGACATATACCTCAGGGTCCCACGCTTGCGTGACAGCACCAGGAAAGAAGCCCCTTACTGCAAACACGTATAATGATCGCAGTATTGGGAAGCGAATGCAGATAGCGTGGAGCATGAGGGCATCAACATGCGTAACGTTCAACTCCAGCATCTGTACAGTCCTGAGGACCTCCGGATCGCATACACTCACGAGTTCATCGCCACCCGCAAGTGCTCCGTACAATTCCAAGGGACTCATCGAACCATCAGTGGACACGGGGCGTGTACTCCACAAGTTGAGATGTTCCAGAGCACCAGGGCGAACAAAGTGGGGTAAAAGTTGACGAGGACCTTGGTATTTTGTGAGGGGCTTGAGTGGATTGAAATGCGTAGACAGGGAGAAATTTTCATCTCTGGGAAGGTTGTATTGGATTTGAGAGGGGCGGGCGAATTTGAGTTCGGCTAGCTCTGGGATGAGATGAAGTATGAGACGGAAAGCGCGCACGACTTCTAAATTGCAAGGTAATGTGAGGCATCGGAGTTGTAGCAGGCCTGGCGATGCGTTCCCTATGAAACTGTTTAGGAATTGTGAGGCTGCGACTGGGTTGATTATCGAGACGGAACGTATGTGGTCGGGTGAGAAGACAGATAGTCCATGACCATTCTGACCGTTCCCAAGCATATTTTTGCTATCGCAGATGATGGTCAAGTTGGCAAGCCGTAATTTGGGAGATGAAAGCGATAGGACATGTTCCACTGTACAGTTGCCCAAGAAAAGGTTCCCAAGGCTTTGTAGCGCGCATAGTTTCAATATCTGGAACTGGCTGAGGTCCACGAACATGAACGATAGCGATTGGAGATTGACGAAAAGCGGTAGGGTATCGAGTAGTATATCCAAAAGCACATTATATGGAATCTCCGTGTTGAGCACAGCACCAACAATATATCGGGGATAAAATTTGCATTCACGAACAGCATGAGCGATGCGTACTGAGGAACAAAATTGTATGCGGTGCTTTGTACGCTCTACAGTTTCGAGACGGTGAATAAAGCGCTGGTTGTTGGCGTCCAGGGAGTAGGGACAGAATGTCAGCGAGCGAAACAAGAGAGGTTGCGCGAGATAACGAAAGGAGTGGCAAGTGAGGGTAACGTCATGAAGGGTTCGGAGAGGAAGATGCTCGAAGATTGCCAACCAAAGTTCGGGTGGCAAGTCGACTTGGGGTATAATACCGGAGCCCCTGGAAGGTATGTTCATTAATTGGCCCATGACTTCAAAAAGCTTCGAATTAGTAAGCTATAATCAAGATGTTGACGGATTATGACTACAGGCAATTACTTACTTTGAAGTTCGGATCGTAACCAAAGGCAAGGTGGTGGTGTATGCAGAGTGACTGGCTATGCACCATCACACTAGGAGTATGAACTCCGCGCACTCCGCCAATACCATACACGTAATAACAAGGGTAGCTGGCCAGGCAGGCAGGGTTCAACTTATCATGATGCGGATGAAATTGAAACGTTGAGCTGCACCATTGATATTGTCAAAGTAACGCTCAAGGTCGTTGTAAACAATTTGGCCGCCTCAAATTCCTATTGATCCTATTCAATGGCACAAATAACTCTCCGCCTCAATTCTCCTCGAGTTCAGGGGTACCCGGTCCAAGGTTTTCGCGTCGATGAGATTGATGCAGGGTGGAATGCTCTATACTAGTAGGATACGATCAACAAATGATCAGATTATGCAGGCCTCCTTCAAGTTGCGGCTGCGCACGAACACAAGTTTGTCTTGAAACGGATCTTCTCTTTGTCTTCAACTGGTCAGCCAAGAGTACGGCAATGAACTGCACTGCAAGTAACTGCCGTATGGTACAGCATGCCTCATGATTTGGGTTCCAGCCTAGGACTAACAGGGAATTTTTCATTGGTCGGTAATTAATTAATTGCTAATCAGAGTTCTAGCGCCGATCATAAACGCTTCTGTAGAACTCGGTCAGTGAAGCAGCACAAAAAACCAAGGCTCAATCCATTGTCAAGTTTGAAATGAGAGAATAGATGCGTATGACACCAAATCACTGGTGAAAATTTATCTCAATTTGACACGCTCCATTACTGTAGCTCGCGATGTAGGAGCTTAGAGTCTAGACCATAACGGTTTTTGCTAAAGCCTAATAAGGAGATGCCTAAGGTGTTTCGTCAAAGTCACCTCATGAACGAACGGCTGCGAATGTACTTGTAAAAATTATATAGTTGCACTCATGAAGTGTATTTCTATATGGGAAAAATATACTGGAGCCCCAGAGTTGTATGCAGTATATACAAAAAGTCATTTTCGTGTTTCAAGGACTCATTCAATTTGTGTGTGAGCGCCGGGTCGCGGGCCCTGAAGCTTGCTTGATTGAGACCCGACATCAATGCATCTTGATCAAGGCTCTGGTATACGTGTCCTTCCGGGAGATCGTGACAGGATGTGTCCGACGGCAGTGTTGATCAGGCAGCATTCAGCCTGATCGTCGTCGCATCATTAAGCCGATGATAATCAAGGAAGACCACAGCTGGATGGCTGGCTATTAGTAACACTATCAGGAAGTTCAGTAAAACCAGCTTCCAATCGAAGTCTAGAAGTAACCTGCGAACTGCTACCTAGGCTTCCCGAAGGTGTGACTCAGGAGTCTGGTTTCGTGACAAGCGTGACGTTCTTTGTGTACTACGCCTATCAGTTCGCACGACGACAAATAAAACCACACAAAGTAATTTAGGTGTAGGCAAAGAGGGTTACTGCCACTGGTTAAGAGTTCTGACTGAGCCCTTTCTTTCTTGCGGCGCGTTCCCCTAAATCTACACTTCACGCGCATTGACGGCTCTTAACGATGTCTACTTGGACGCCGCAGCCTGCAGGTCTACAAGAGATCTTGCAGACTATACGCGACTCAACTGATACGCAAGGCAATGTACAACGAGCAATCACTCATGTATGCATTTTCCTTGCGATCATCTACAGCGCGTTGACATCCGCTTAAATAGAAATTGAACACCTTTACACGTGTACCAGATTATATTGCATATCTGGCTTACATCTTAACCGCTCTCCCCCAAGAGGAAGACCAAATCCGCACGATAGCTGGGTATCTATTGAAGAACAATGCACGTCTCCTCCTTAGCGTATCTCCGGAGGTAGCCGAATATGCAAAGTCGGCTGTTCTTCAAGCCTTCGTCAGCTCTCCTCCTTTGATAAGGAATGCTGCCGGTCATGATATTGTTGCATTCCTTGGTGCGCTTGAGCCTAGAAATTGGCCAGATTGCTTGCAGCAGTTGGTGAATATGCTAGATTCGCCTGATCCAGCTCTCCAGGAGGTGAGTGTCCGAGTGATGATATTCCGAGGCTGGAACATGGGATCGCGTTGGAGCAAGTGCCTCCACATGAATTTCGAGGCACCTGACAGTCGGGAAAAGCCTATGCGAGTGCAGCTCTGGCTCTTCGGCAGCTCTCCTTATCGAATGTCGCATTTAATTGAACGTGACTTTATGCTGAACCCGAACGGTCCCAAAGCACGCGACGTTCATATCCCATGATTATCTGTGTCACTATTCGATCGTGAATACTGAAAATTACTACGCAGGCTGCTTTCAGCGTTTTCGAGAAAGCTTGCGAGGATTTTCCTCGCAAAATGGATGTTGAGATTAACGGAACGCGTCCTCTGGATTACATGATCCCCAAGTTCCTCGTGCTATCTGAGCACCCAATGCCGAAAATGCGGTCACATGCCGTTGCCTGTCTTTCATATTTCGTGCCGATTAATTCTCAATCCCTTTTTGCCCACATCGATGCCTTCATCGCCTGCCTATTCAAGCGCGCATCTGACGAGGATCCATCTGTCCGAAGACACGTCTGCCAGGCTCTTGTATTGCTTCTTGCAGCCCGCCCCGAGAAGTTGATGCCGGAAATGTCGAATGTCGCAGAGTACATGTTATACTCGACCAAAGATAAGAATGAAAGCGTGGCCCTCGAAGCCTGCGAGTTCTGGCTCACTTTCGCCGAGGATCCTGACCTCGCAGCATTCCTCCATCCTCTCCTAGGACGAGTTGCTCCAGTACTGCTCGATTGCATGATTTACGGAGAGGATGATCTTCTCTGGCTTGATGGCGACACAGAAGATACCAATGTCCCTGACAAGGAAACTGACATCAAGCCACGTCATTACGGGGGCAAAACACACGGTCTAGATCGGGACCAAGCACAAGCTAATGGACAGGAGCGGAAGCGAGGCGCGTACGGGGAGGAGACATTGGACGATGAGGATGAGGACGACTACGATCTTGATGACGATGATTTTGCTGATGAGATGTCTACGGAGTGGAACTTGAGGAAATGTGCTGCTGCTGCGCTGGATGTGCTGGCTGTGAGGTTTGGGCCCGAGTTACTGAACGTGCTTCTGGGTCCTTTGAAGAATAAACTCTGGAGTGCTGAGTGGTTAGAAAGGGAAAGTGGCATATTGGCATTAGGCGCCATGGCAGAAGGTGCTGATGCTTCTTTCTTATCTGGTGGTCGTATATTGATTTTATTCCTCAAGGCTGCATTGATGCAATTGAGCCTCATTTGACAACCCTCGTCCCATATCTAATCAACACACTTAACGACCCTAAGGTATGCCGTTACCCCCTTACTGTGTGAGACGATTGACGAATGAGTGTATAGCCTCTTGTTCGATCAATTGCCTGCTGGACATTGGGTCGGTATGCAAGCTGGTGTACACAACCTATATCGGAGCAACATAAGAACACGTACTTCGTCCCGACAATGGAAGGCGTACGTATTTTCTATTTCGCATGTGATTATGATGACTTAAAACGACTCCAGCTCTTGCGAATGGTCCTAGACGACAACAAACGTGTACAAGAAGCAGGATGTAGCGCATTCGCGACGTTAGAGGAAGATGCTGGGCCCGAGCTTGTACCCTATTTGGAACCTGTCCTCCGGAATCTGGTGTTTGCGTTCGAAAAATATCAGCACAAGAACACGCTCATACTGTATGATGCTGTTGGCACATTGGCCGACGCTGTCGGTAGGGCATTGCAGAATCCCGCATATGTGGAAATCTTGATGCCCCCTCTGACGTCTCGATGGGCCAAATTGTCGGACAATGACGATGACTTGATTCCGCTTCTTGAGGTATGACCTTGATCGATTTGTTGGTACTCGAGTTCTCATGCTTTGGTATCCCAGTGCATTGCGTCCGTCACAATTGCCATGGGACCGGCATTTTCCCCTTACGCACTACCTGTCTTCCAGCGCTGCGTGAACATTATCCACCAGTCTTTACTCATGTATCAAGCATACCAGCAGAGCCCCGAACTCGATGAGCCTGACAAATCCTTCCTTGTGGTGTCACTGGATCTCCTATCGGGCCTTGCCCAGGGCATGGGCATGCATCTGGAAACTCTCATTGGGCAAACAAGTCCGAACCTTCTGCAGCTACTGACGGTGTGTCTCAAACACCCTCAGGCACCGGTCCGTCAGAGTGCGTATGCTCTCGTCGGAGACCTTGCGATGGGCTGCTTCCAGCTCCTACGCCCTCATCTGCCTGCCATCATGGCGGAGCTTATCGAACAACTTGACCCTGAGCCTAAGGTCGAGTTTATCAGTGCATGCAATAACGCAGCTTGGTCTGTCGGGGAAGTAGCACTGCGCTATGGGCGAGGTGAGTAGACTTGCCCAACCTCAATATTGAGTCACTCAACACGCCATTTTCTAGATGACCTGGAGTTCCAGCAATGGGTTAACCCCCTTATCGCGCGTCTCATTCCTATCTTGCTGCACCCGAAGGCTCCACGCAGCCTTCACGAGAACGCTGCTGTGTCCATTGGAAGGATTGGGCTGATGCACCCCAGTATTGTCGCTCCCCATTTGCCTGAGTTTGCACAAGCATGGTGCTTAGCCTTGTATGAGATTCGTGATAATGAAGAGAAAGACTCTGCGTTCCGTGGTCTATGCACTCTTGTGCAGACCAACCCAGCGGGCATTGCTAAGGTTTGTCAAAATTCCCACTCTTTCAGTGTGCGCTAACACTGATTTTTTTAAACGCAGAGTCTTCTCTGGTTCTGCAATGCCATCATCAGGTGGCATCAGCCCTCCGCAGAGCTGAATTCGATGTTCCAACAGCTTTTGTCCGGTTTCAAGCATCACGATGAAGCAGGTTGGGCCGCACAGGTTTCGAGCTTCCCTCCTGTAATCCAGGAGCGCCTTGCTACGCGATATGGTGTATAGTTTACTCTTGTGACGTATGTATCACCAAAATAACCCGACATCTCATTGTATTTCGGCACCCTTTTGTTCACTGTGTCCTATCTCTGTTGTTCTGGGATCTTCTAGTAGCAGTAGTATTTCTTTCATCAGCAATTTGCGTGTGCGTCTCTGTAGTTACATAAATACCTACGTCCTCTCGCTCAGTCTGCCTCTTGTATATCTTTTACGTAGCATTAGTCGTAGTAGTAGTAGTACTTAGCTCTTCTCTGTCATCGGCATTACACTTTAGTAGATAGTAGTATGTAGTAGATACATATCCCGTACAAACACTGAGTTCCACTGACATCAATACGATACAATCCTGATGGGATCGAAATTCGGTCCCTAAGACCCGCAAACCCGTCTCAAGGTGATTCCATTGAATGAAGTCAGAATGTACACGAGCTCGACATAATCTCTCAGAACCGCCTCCGGTTCTCGTAACCCAAGCCCCCAAATGCAGAACCACCATAACTCCTCCTCTTATTAAGCGTGTAGGTTTTATACCCATACGAAGCACCCACACAAACGGCCATAAAGAGCAGTATTTTGAAGATGAAGCCGAGCCACGAGCCGCCCAGCGACTCAGCTCCGGACTTGCGCGAGAACGTACCCTTCCCACTGGCGCCAAACTTGTTGCGCTGCGCATCAGAGGCCGACAGAATTGCGGACCACGTCGTCACAGAAATGACACTAAGGAGCGTGTTAGCGGGGAACACCTGTTGGCGAATGCAGGACGTACTCATGTGAATCAAATACTTCACCTGTCATTGCGGTTATGCCGATGTATGGAGCAGGGGGAAGACTTATGCCCGTGAGGCGGAAGCAGTCAGACCAGTCATCCCCTGTGTGTTTGTTAGTGTTGATTCTCCAATCAAAGGAAATGTACGCACAGGCTCGATAGTGGACCTTGACCTATCTTACAATTGCGTGAGAAAGAGTGATGACAGTGCAAGCATCCAGACGCACATCAAGATATGTATCCTTCACGTAGGTGATCTTGAGCTTCGTGATCACGTTCGTACGGCGGAAATTGGCTGAACACGAGCCTAGGCTGTTGGCCTCACCATCATGCGCTTGGTCGTAAGGCGTCTGACCATCTCCCAACATTGAAATAACGCGGGGAAAGCCATACGGATGCCGAGAGTTTGCATAACTGCATCATAGGTGAAAAGGACAACATCAAACATAACGGTTTGGTGACTTACGTGTCCAAAAAGACACCAAGCCCTTCGAAGTTATCTGGGAGGGAAACGATGTCAAATCAAGGTGACCATAGTAAGACTAGAACTGACCTTTACTACCGAAGACAGGACCTGGTTCAGCTCGGTCCTTTGTGAGCCAGATAGCCATTCCATCTCCGTACAAGTGGGTTGATTCACCAGTGACCTAATAGCCTGTTTGGACACGCTGAAAAAATCAGAATATTGCCGCTTACTTTGAATTCTACCTCAACGATAAAATTGGAAGCAGTCAGTGGCATGCGTGACCAGAGCCATCCCTGATGCAAAACATGAATTAAAGAGAAGCTCGGTTAACGTGTCTAGCACACCATTTGAGATGGGCGAGCGCGCGTGAGACGAATGTGTTTGTTGGTGTTCTACGTGACGTTAGAATACAAGAGGTCGCTTTTGAAAACTGACTGGGCTCACAATATATGCATCTGCACCGAAATCCCACCAACTGAAAGTTAAGTAGGTGTAAGACTGCATCTTAAGGGCATAACATCTCTGTCTCACCGATTTTGCAGGTCCTGATCAATGTATGGAGGAAATATTGAATGCGTCCGAAGCTGTATGGTCTTGGATGGATGAAAACAATGAGATATTCTGGCTTTGTCCACTGACAGAGAAGTGAAGCAAGCCCAAAACGAGGTTGTTCCTGCTCACACGTCATAAATGTTACAACTCACTCGGTCAATCGTTTTGTTGTTCACCGTCGTGTCCGCTTTACCGAGGACGCATGGGAGGCTTGTAAAAAGAATATATGCAAGATAGCATACGGAAAAGTAGCATATCATTGCGACTCGTAAGCTGAAGAAAGAATGTGGAGGTCTCGGAGTCGTGTGCGGGATGCTTGCCGCGACCTACAATGTTACACTCAAGTGCCGCGATGCCGGTATGCTTCAAAGTCCGCCGAAATGAAAACATGCACAAGCAACACGACTCAGATGCGGCATGCACGTCATGCACTACTAGAACGATATCAATCGTAACGGCGCGGGTGCCAGTCCCCGACTCCTTTGGATCGCGTGTCGAATTGTTGAGTCTTGCGTCTGATCTGTTAGTCAGTGGAAACATCATTCGTTTCTCAAGCGAATCTTATTGTCGAAAACTCTACTCGATTGAATCTAACATGATGTGCGTGCCAAGTGCGTGCTAATCTGTTACAGCAGTCAGCCAAAGCCACGTTCGTCTCTTGTGCAGTTACTCTCGTCGAACGCAAAGGTATGAAGGACTCTGCCCGTCCAAGCGAACACCCGCATACATGATCTTCCATTAGTAGGATTTGGGGACTAGTACGACCGACTACCTCGTCACACTCTCTGCATCATGGTCAGCTCGCCGCAAATTCTACTTCCCGTGGACGAGCAGTATTCCATATGGACAGCCATGCTATTTGTACCTCACTAGTACTGGTGGTTCTCTTCACGACGCTGAGGCTTGTTCTTTAGTTCTTGTTCCAATGCCTCGACACCAGCCCCTTCTTTCGAATGATCTTCAATGTCGGCTGAAGACATCAATTTTCTTCTACTTTTACTGTATACAAGTTGAATGACATGAGGCCTGAGCCCGAGGTCGATTCTATCAACGCTACAGTAATTCAATCGGGAGTCCGGTCGAGGCATCAAGAAAATTTGTATAAAAGTGAGCACATCCATCAACTCCGCGACGAACTGTATATCGTGCGATCAAGCACTGTGCAAACACGAAAGAGATAAGACTCACTATTGTGACATGCTCAGTCTGCCAAGCTCATCTGGACTTTCAAGGTTTCGCGCAGTACGTGGAAGAACTTCCGGGCTGGTACAAGGCGCAAAGGTGAGTCGTGGGGTTGAATTTCGGATGCAAAGCGAACGACTCATACTCACAGCAGGGTTACAGAGAAGGTCACCGCAGCATACGGTGCCTTCCGGGCTGCTCTTGCCACAAGCATTGCCTACGGTCCCACAGAGCTGTGCGGTGACAGACATAGATCTTGTCAAAGCTGCAACGACTGCGACGACTCGGAGGAATGAGAAATGCATGGCTCGTGCTAGGTTATGTGGGATGTGTCAAGAAAAACAGTGGCTCTGATTCTGCCAGTAGCGTCCTTGCTCTTATATCCTATCGGAAACAACGTTCTTGGAAAGTAAGCTTGGCACTTGTATCAGAATGGGTGCGCTTTCCAGCGGACTTCAGGGTGAGAGTATAGGCAGAACCGAAGGTTGGCGGATAAACAATCCAGAGCGTGTGGACCGTAGACCAATGCATACCTCAGTGGACGTGATGGAGGTAGGACTGCCGAGGAAAAACATTGAGTATTTGAATGTCAAGATGTCCGAGACGGAAACCGGTGACGACACCAGATGTGGTGTCGAAGGTGCCAAGTCATCTGCAAAACTGTGAAATGAACGCTTAATAGATCTGTGATGGTACTAGGGCGCACATAGGCATCATATTGTTGGTGGTTGGGCAGCATCATGATATTATCGAAGAACTACGGAAGATGAGGAGGAATAGACTCAGGAGGTACGAGGTGTGCTGCTGCCCGCTGGTTCGGAGGGCGTGCTGATGAAGATCCATTTAGTGCGAAAGGATTTGCAAACCCACCAGGTGCTGCAGACCGTGCTTGGACTGTCTTTCGTGCACATTTTGAGGTCCCAAAAAATGGAACATCTGATGCCGAATGAAGCTCACGGGGTATACATCTCACGGGCCAGCACTCACCACGAGAATGACTGGGAAAAAACTGCTCATCAAAACAAAGCCCTCCTAGGAGTCGGGGAATCGGATACCACCAGGTCATGAGATGGACACAGAAGACTCCTACTCAGGGGTCCATGATGTCCAATTGTCCCTCAATTACAAGTGTATCCGCACATCCACCCACTATTTGCACATCTTCAAGTGTCTGATTACACACAGATCGACGGTCAAAAATTAACAGTCACGACAAGGCATCAGTAAATGGATGAATCCTTGATATTGAAGTATAGCACGATTGATTCTGCTCTCTCTGAATATTAATTTCTATACTCTGAGCAAATACAAAGACGGGATATTACTGCGAGTAGTAAACGTAATAGCTAGCGCTTCAATCCAAGATGGGACTAACATAGAGAAACTTGAGAAGTACCAGAAGAAAGAAGAAAAGTACCCATATCCATCAAGAAGATGACATCTCCGACATAACCTCTTCCAGCTTGTACCTTTTCAAGGTAGCATGGAATTTGACATACCCATCGAAAAACGCGACATAAGCGTCATATGCCACGGGACGCGGCCTTAGAAATTCGAGGACATTGTGATGTGCTCGTACAGTTTTCTCAATGAGAGCAGAGAGAGCGTCCTGTTTGGTGAGAGCACGAGATGCTGCCATAAGTGACAGGTAGTTGACGGTTTCGCAATCGATCTCCTCTTTGTAGTATGACAATATATCACTAAATCATGGCAGGTTAGAAAGGTCAATAAAAAAATCATTTATTTACTTACTTTGTGTGGTTTATGACTATGGCTAGATCCGGAATACATTGAACGTATTCCCGAAGCGGGAGTGTGGAAGGGAAAATGCAGAGTCCGTACGTAGTCGATATGCCTGATAGCAGCCTAGAATACTCGGGGTACGAGGGAGCCTGCAGCGAGATCTGTTCACACGAAGGGGTAAGGATCGAAGTTACCTCTATGGAGGAATAACATACTGGCATATCTTTGGTCTCATTGTCAAGTAAGCTGGAAGTCATGAAGTCGAGCGAGGACGTGACGATCAAATTTGACACCGGTGCGGGATAATGGCAAGCGACCTCCCGCAAGAGCTCATCAAGCGCATTCATAACTGGATGCCCCTGTGGCTGGCAATTCATGAACCGCTCGTTGAAACGGTACAAATGCACTAGATCTTCTGCCTTGATCATGTCGTCGATGCAAGTGCATACGGCGGTGAAGAGGCAGATCCATATCTTGGTTGCATGGTCTGGGAGGTGGATGTAAGCGTTGGACATTATGGCCACGCCAACGGCCATGTATGGGAGGATGGCGTCCATTGGATAGCCGCGGTTGATGGCTTCCTTAGAACATTCGGATAACCACGCTTCGTCGAGTGTGATATTCTTATATTGCAAGCCGCAACGTTGAAGAAATTGGGCGACGGACTGGCGGATGCCTGCTAGAGCCTATATTCGCCATTAAAATGGGGATATGAAAGGGTATCAAAACACAAGCACGTACTTCGCTATCGAAGGTGGATGTGGACAGGTTGTTCATGGTCACTTTGTGAAAACTTGTAGAGAAGATTGGTGGGGGAATGGCTGAAATGGGCTGCATGTACCCTGTACTTATACTCTACGATGTACGTCGATTTATGAACGAACAAGAGTCTTGTATGCTATGCAGGGCTCGTCCCGGTACCCGAGACTACTACATAACTTACAAGAGTGGGAAGTGTTAGTGGTCGTTAATAATAACGCGCGCTGATCTCAGATCACGTTGTAATTGTGACCGGAGACCGATAGAATCAGATGACACATGATGCAGACGCTGATCCTTTCGAAGCGGCAACATGCCATGTAGTGCCTCCATCCCCAATCTCACTGGTGGAAAGCCTAATTTTTTAGGGATTGCCGGGCCGCAGTGCTTATAACTGGGTCCGTTGAAGCGAGCAGTGATGAAGCGAACAGTGGGAATCAGTGAACCGGTTGCCTTACTAATTGCGGTGCTTATACATACATGAACCGGGTTCAGCAGATTAATGAGAGAAGTGCGCTGGTGACTTGTTGGCCGCCGGCCTTGAATGACTGAAAAACTTTTGTGCCCAAAACTTGCCACTGCATTCTTCGTGCAACGATAAGTCTGAATACTTGTCCAACGCTGGTTCATGAACAGCTCTCTGAGGAGCGGTTGGTTGAATATGAATTGTATGGTAGCTTTGGGGAGAGCACTCGGTATCTTCAAAAGCCCTAGTAGCCGCTGCCTCTGCAACAGGATCATCGAAGCTTTTTACGAAACAAGAGCCTTTCGTGATAGAAGTTCTTTGATATTAAGCGCAGAGATCTACCTAATAGTAACCACAGCACCTGCCCAGTTAAGGATTCAAATATTCAAGCTCAAGGTTTGACTACGAGCCTAGACTAGTGCTCACTTCAGGCGTCAACGCGGTATCCGGTATACGGGCACAGACGAGCATTGCAGGCTAGCACATACCAAACATGATGCATCATGCATGCACGCATCATGATTGCAATCTCTCGGTCGTAGTAAGATGTATACAAACATGCATCTACTAGTAGTAAGCAGAGCCGAGGAAGCCCGGGAGGGCCGGATGTACAAGTCCATGACCAGGGTTCCAGTGAATGAAGTTCGCATTGTAGTATGATGGACACCCTACAAGTGTAGTACACGGCACGCTCATGAGTGACCTGCTTGCCAGCCTTCTCGCTAGCGGGAAACATCTCTTACGTGACAAAAGTCTGCTTAGTGCCCGACACGGGACTCGGACTCTTAGTACAACGGGGGTGCGGGTCGGCTGGGTAGCACCCGGACATTGTATATGGACTTTGGCTACCTTTCACTCGAGCGCTCAGCGGTTAGTGCGGGGTGCAGAACTACCTGGGGTTAATTCTGCCGGTTACAATGATTAAGTACCACCGGGAGAGCTGGCAAAACTCTAGGCTATGCATGTAGACTATGTGTACGATACGACATGATATCATGTGCATCGATATATATCACCCCGTCCGAGTGTAATAATTTAACCACCTTAACCTCATTGGCATATACATACCCGATCCAACTCGTCAAAATGAAAAGTACCAGGGAACTAGCCAATCTGGGGCTATTCCACGTAGAAGTACTCTGGAGCCAAAGTCTAGGGGCTTAACAGGTGGCTACGAGTGGAGTTTCAATATTCAATCTGATCGCACCTCAGCTGTCTTCTATACCCACATTACATTTCGTCTTTATTCTTATTTCTTTGTTGCACTAGAATATCTGGACAGCACTTCCGTTGCACCTTCCTGCTTTCCATCGCTCTGTTGTTGCATGCTCAACTACTATCTGGTGCTTGCATTTCTCATAACTAATGGACCAATTGAGCGCCCCCTCTTGCGTGCTCTCGTACCGTCTTACATGAGCCTTCCCACACCTTGTGCCAATATATTCTTCGTATCAAGTGACTTCAGCAAGCAAAATTAAAATGTACTATATTAATTAAAAAATCACAATACTTATTTAAAGCGAAGCCAGCTGCCGAAGTTTAGGCCTAGGCCTTTAGGGATCATGTTCTATTGATTTCGTTATCATATCTAAATTACATCCTCGCGAGTATCGGATACCGTGGAGTTCTGCCAAGGACCGAGCATCGCGGTAGTGTGTAACGTCGCGGGATATCCGTGATCTTATCAGACCTCCGGCACCATGTATCCCTGATCCGTTCAACGTTGCAACTTTGAACTATAGCGAATTTGTGAAGGTTACTGTCTTGAAGGCTTCCTTGTCCGAGCTTGCCCCGCGGACCGTCGGGGCCCTTGCCATGACCCAAATTTTCTCCTTGTCAAGTTATATGCTTCATCATAAACACCAAACTCAGCATTGTCCCCAGTGTTGACGACGCTGTGGTGCACGCTGTTTATGACGATAATGATTACCACTGAAGGATGGCTAGAAACCATGGCTCAATGGATGCTCCGGCGGAGGGATCCGCGCTGGACCTGACGCCGATTCAGCCGAGACATGTCACATGCTTAGGCCACCAACGAACTATGAGCTACCAAGGCAGTGACTCGAATATCTCGTTTGCTATGCACTGCAAAATTCTATGGTCTCCGAAGCATACGTGAATGTCCAAGAGCGGTTCGTAGTAGGCAAAGCTCTGATTAACGACATGTCAGACTCCGATAGACTAAAATACGCCAACTCATGCCGGAAGCTCAAACTTCTGACCGTGGAGGACTCTGGGAATGACGTCATTGGTAAGCGTACATTTGGCGCAGGAATCATGAAAAAACGCACTTTGTAAAGTAGACGTAGAAAAAGTCGAGGTAAAGCCCGGTTTGCACCAGTCCAGCTGTCACAGCTATGGGATCCACCACGTCCTCAGTAAAGTATCTGGAGGGTAAAATCGTTCGGTCATGAACAGAATCCATTGGACACGCGCGTACCTATATATCCAGTTGGGAAGATACAAAGCACGATAAAGACCAAGAGCGGCCAGGTAGTGCGTTGTAATTGTCTCTGCCTCGCCAGTACGCTGCAACATGAACAACTGGGGGAAAATCGCGACAGATTCGAGATATATAGAGAACGTCCAGAGAATTTCGGTCGGCTCGAATGCGTAGTTGAATATCAGCGATAGAACGAGAGATGGCCCAAGGAGATATTCAACCTTGAATGTGTCAATGGACGGGTCGTGCGTTGGACTGTCAAAATCACGGTCAATATTCATGCGAAAGGCAGACACCAAGTGAAAACACACCGGAAACGATACTTCATGAGGTAGAGGATATAACAACTACTGCTTATGAAGAACACCTTCATCACGAAGTTGTAAACGGATACCCAGCGGAATAGCAGGTCAATGTAGCGTGTCACGAATACGAGGGCGTAGAGAGCCTGTGTCTTGAAGGAAATACCTAGTAGACATACAAGTGACACGCCTGAGCAAGGATAGATCAGGCAAATCCAAAGCAAACCCACCCCTGCATGACCTGGTCGTCTGAATCTTCTGAATAAGGATGAATATAGAGGCCAAGTGGGCCAAATCCCCTACAACCACGACCTGTTAGCTTTCCAGATAGCTTACACAACGCGAACGCGAACCAAACAACCGAAAAATGTTCATGTTTTGACGTGTCCACTCCTATATCCTCCAACAACGTGCTGCAGTTCTCCAAACGATGGTCCTAAAATTTGAGCGTCGTGGAGCAAGCGTAGGAGATTAACGTGCCGACGTGTTCAAACAGTTGTTGGCATGAGGCAAAATATTCACACGCCTTCTCTCCTTCAGTACACAGCCAGGGCGCCCCACCAACTACCTTTATTTCATGCTAGACGACAGCTTCTAGGCTTATAACCTCGTATTGTTAACGACAAGAGTTTTTCTGGCTTCTGGCAAGCATTTCGGTCTCACATAGATAGGCAAGTGATCATACCTTTATCTTGTTTGCAACGATGTCCTAGTAAAAGGGTCGACCTTGACCGTAATGCGCCCTGTCCCTGGCTCTTGAGCCCAAATGCGTCTGTTTCCCATTGCCTTGCCAAAAATTACCGCATTGCATTGTAAGGCCAGACCGACATTATGTGACTCTCATTGGCTAGCGAGACTGAAAGGCCCACAACTCGCTAGCAAAGGCAGAGCCGTCACTTCGCAGTCATTTGTATCTTTTGCAGTCCTAGATGATTGCAAAGTTGCAGATGAATAGTAGGCGTTTTAGCCGAGCCCTGGCAGCAGAGATTTTGTCTGTCACGGGTGGTCTCTAGATGTGGATTTCTATCAAACGCAAGATTTACCTGTCTTTGCACGGGTACGCACATTATAAAGTGCCCAGACTCAAGATATACGTTTGGGTGCGTGGTTATGTGCGAACAAACTGCAGGCACGAGTTCCAGCGGACATGTGGCGCGCCTATAGTCAAGGACATGAGATCATCCTGGCTGCTTGCAGCCCTGAGCTTCCTTGTTTTCATTGATGTCCATCCTTACAGTCTGACTGATGCAAACTACAGTATCTCTAGATCGCTTATTCATGTCCGCAGCGCTCTTCCGCATCGTCGGCTGGTCGTACCTCCCAGATTTTGCAACAAAACAAGCTCTTCGTGTAATTCACCGGATATATTCTAGTATCTTTCACCGACCTCCGCCTGATCCGCGAACGCCTACTTATGCATTACACTACCGACTTACTTTCGCAACAGTCGTTCTTTGTTATCTCATCTATAACTTCCTGGATGCTTCCGGACGTATCACAAGCAACTTTTACGAGCTTCTCGGCGTATATCCGAACTCTAATGATGCTACCCTAAAAACGGCATTTCGCGGATTCGCAAGGAAATATCACCCAGATCGAGTAGGTCCGTCAGGAGAAGCATTGTTCATCGAGGTAAGAGATGCTTTCGAAGCCTTAAAGAACCCGGTGGTCAGGTTTGCGTACGATAGGTCAGTGGTCTTGAGAGTGGTATGACTTGGTCACCTCATGTCTATATTTCAGATTTGGACCTGATGTTCTGCAGTGGAAAGAGTGCACAACGATGCGCGAGTATCTCCGACGCGGGCTACTGAGCTCATCATTGTACCACATTATGACTGGTGCTGGTCTCATTCTTTTTTCAGCTATCGGAAAACCTAGTCCAATAGCAGCAGTAAGTACTCAGGATACTTGTTGTGATGCCCAATTTGACCAGCTTCTTTGTGCCTGTTTCAAGTGGCGTTATCTTCTTTTTCTTTGCCTTTTTGCATCAGAGCTTTATCTCCTCCTTGCCCCCTCGCCCTCCACATCACCACCGAGCACCTTTGTTGATGCAGCAACCTCGCACGCCACGATCCTCGATGTTGTATTTCCTAAACGGATTGTATACCAACATATTTCTCTCCTCCATCAGGTCTTCTTTTTCCTTTCAGTTGCATTGTCCCGTGTGGCCCCGGTCCTGTTTCCCTCGCTGATGCAGGGAGATCCTATCATGGATCAGCAGATCGTACGCGCTATGGCCGAGAGACTTGGTGCGCTGGCAAAGAACACAGAACGGGAGTGTAAGTGGGCCATTACATTTCTTGGCACATCCATTAAGTTCTGGTATACACCAATATTTCTTCTGACTCTAGTGTCGATTATGCTGGATACGGAATTGCTCGCAATCCATGAGACACCTATGGTCACTTCTGAGTTGAGCACACTACCTCGGCCGCGCGAGATACTCAAGAGTGATATCATGCATACTTTGACCATGGAAATGGAAGATGTCGTTGTGGAGAATAAGCTGAAATCGGAAGTCGGGCCTGTGAAGACTGCATGGGACTTCGCCGTCGACAAAGAGATGAAGAAGAGAGTTCAAGGTCGTCGATTACAAGAGATAGCGAATCGACTGCCATCGCCACCGCCGGAAACAGGTCTAGGAAAAATACACATCCGTGCTCGATCTTTATCGCTTTAATGCTTCAACTATTTTGAAACTTTGCCAAAAAAATTGTGAGGTTGCCCTGTCCAAGCATTTGTCATAGGTTGTGTTTTGGGACCTCATGGCAGTAACAACCAGAGATCCCATGTAGATCCGCAAGTATCTGGGTCCTGAATGCAGGTAAAGGACCTGAAAAATGAGGGTTCTAATGCCCTACTTCACAGTGAGGCCAGCACATGAGCAGAACATGCACAATGGAGGTGTTTTCCTCGTGGCTCGCCTGCATGCTTTCGTATGCAGGGTGACTAGTTGACTTATGAGTTATGTATTAGTGTTAGCCATACCACAATCCTCTCGTCGGTTGGCTGCCTCGATCAAACTCGATTATCAGGAAGAAGTGTCTCGGACTGAGACTTCGTAACATCCAAGAAAATGGGCCGGGCTTGCCCTGTCCGACGTTCCCGACGTCACGGCATCGTTATCCATATGGTAAATTTTGAAAAGAAAGGTTAAAGAAAATTGCGTTATTTTTAGTGTTCAAATACGGACCTACGGGTTGGTTTTACCTAAGGATCCACAAAGAGTGGCTCACACTGCTACTTATACAACGGTCGCCGCACCCCCATTCAAATTACATGAAATCTCTTTTCTTTCCTCCCCCTCCCATTCAAACGACATGGAGGGAGATTCTCAACACGCTGAGACATCAGCAGCAGGTGCCAAACGCCAACGATTGAGCTCAGAAGCTAGAAAGCTCCTAAAAGGTGAGCCGCCCTCCATCCATTCACGCCAAGCGAAACGGTCCGCCCAGTTGTGCCTCTGCTGAGGCACGGTGGCATGTCAAACCCAATACTAGACTCTAGAGGCGTGCTGACACTTTCTATCCAGATTTTGCCGAGCATGTTTCGATGCACCCGGATTCACACCAAAGACAACATTTGCTTGAGCAGGTGCGACGCTTGCACGGATGTGGTCAGACCGAAGCCAAACATATAAACACGTGGTTCACGCGCTACCGCGCCTCTGTAAGGAAGAAATCAATGCAAGACGATGATAATATCCGTGCGTGTTCTTCCTCCCGAACACGCCCATATGTGTACCCTTTGATTTACGTCATGATCTTGCCGAACAGTGTTCACGAATTTCACATCGGAGCAACTCGATATACTCCGGCCGTTGCTGCGAAACAATCCGTTCCCCAAGAAAGAAATGATTGACATCTGGTCCGTATGTATCAAGGCAGAACCCGAGCAAGTCGGCAAGTGGGTCTTATACCATCAAGCAAAGACAGCGCCACTGCGAGGGACATCGGAACAGTCTATGAGTGTATCACCCACCGCACCACTTCCTCATCTTCCCACACCTGCAAGGTCGCTATCACCTGCTCATGCTCGCGGCATATCATTGCCATTGATTGCAACAAAAGAGGAGCCTTCCCCAGCAAGTCCTCTCTGGCCAACTCACACAGCACCTGTGTCCCACACAAGCTTGCCACAACATGCGACGGTGGGTCCAGACGTGCTTGATGAACTGAATCCGCCGTTTGTGCGAAAGCCTTCCTTTGATGGACCTAGACCTGTGAGTATTACTTGCAGCAGCCATAGCACACTCTGTAACTGAACGTGTTTTAGCTGCGTCATGTTCCTGTGACGATACCATCTCCAGCAAAGCAATTGGCAAAAGACATACATCATAGCATCACATCACATCGTCCAGGCTCAACACGCAAACCCAGTACACGTGCGGAGTTCGATGCCATGTTCAAGCCGTACGAAAAGATGATGACTCAGTTCATTCACAATGTTGAGAGTGGGAAGTTGCAACATCTGGGTTGGGAGCCTAGTGAGTTGGTAATTGCTGACTTGTTAAAATCGTTGAAATAATATGCAACAGGTCGCAAAGCAACATGAGTGTATCACCTTTGATTGAATCTATTGGAATCCATTGTATCGTTATTTCTGCAGTCATTACATTTCTCGTGTAACCATTTCGCTGTCTGTCATCATGTCAATATGACATACTTAGTAGCATATGGATCTGTTCGGTAGATACAAGTTCAGCATATCAGTATATCGTATTGTTAGTGTAATAATGAAGTACTGGTGGTGATGTGGTCTCGCTCTCGCTCAAGGCCGCCCTGATGATGCGTAGGAGTGTCAAGCTGACGAACATGCGACCTTTGGACTAAATTCAAGAACTATATAAACAACCAAATACTCTAATCCTCCCTTTTCTCCTTGGCTGCGACAGCCCAAACCTTCTGCACCGAAGACCAATACCTCTCTGGTTCGACCCGCGCGTGCGCTACATGTGCGCTCTCTTCAAACAGCTCGCAACGTACATCCATTCCGCGCTCCTTCGCAATCTCGGCATGTCGTGTGACCTCTTGCCACGAAATCAATTTGTCGTTGCGCGAAAAAAGGTAGAGGCGCGGTGTGTGGAGGCCCATCCAGGATAGGATGTGGGGATTCCCCATTTCGATTTGGAGGTTTTCCAGCACAATCATTTGCTTACCGAACAGCAAAGAAAGTCCGAAGCGGACAGAGTATATTGTGTGTACGATGGCGAGTACGATACGTCTGGCAATTGGGTTCCGGATCGCAGTTCTGGCGGCAAGTTTGACTGATTTTAAGTCACCCGTTGCTGAGCACGAGTCAAGAACCAATGCACTCGCAGACCCTAGAACTGGTGCGGAACCGTATTTCTGCTGCAGCATATGTCCAAGAAGTGTCATTTGCAGGGAACCTCCTGGTATTGCCGTACAGAGTTCAGCTGTCTCTCTAAGTCCAACCGGGGAGAACTCACCATTGGAAAACACATGAGTAAGTATTCGTGCAGGCTGTTGCGCAGGAGAGGAAGATGGTAAGCAATGCAGTGCTTCTAAGGCATCAATGACAGGCTTGAGCTTCCGTGACTTTCGATTGTGAGGCTACAGGACAACAGTGAACAATTACTGTGAGGTGCTCACCCTAGTACTTCGTGTAGTCCAGAGCAAGTCGGTATTGCACTGAACAACGATCTGAGACGCTTTTGGGTATAATTTGGCATATGCACTTGTGTAATTCCGCAAATGTCTAGGATGTGCTCCTACTGCGGACAACATCATTAGACATGGACTAAAGAACGCAAATTCAGGAATTTACGCCATCCGAATATCAAAACGACACTATACAGGATTTCCATCAGCTATCTTGCTAATAACGGACGCCGACTCACTTGGGAGACCTGGTATCTTGAGATTGTTCGTGGTTATCCCGCAGATATATCCCAGTGCCAATCGTACGGAACCCTTCCAGAGGACGAGCTGTAGACAGACTTCGCACTGGTAGCAAACGAAAAAAAACGCGGGTGTTTAGTCTGTTAGACACCAACGACTGATATTTCTTACCAATTGCGACCCGACCCGCGATCATCCTGGGATCGGGAAACAGCGTTCGAAACTCAACAGAACTCGACTTGCGAAGATACACTCGTACAGTATGATATAAAATAATTATGAAACACACTACTATTTGTGCCGGGTGGCGTCACGGGGTAACGGCAGGTAGGTGTAGAAATTCGGTACAGGTTGCGGGTGCGAGCCTGACTCGGAGTCAGTGGTGCGCATACGAGTAGTTCATCTTCCGATTACAATCCTTATTTTTCATAGGTCGCAAGTACTTAAGTACTAGTGACTCACCACTTTGGTATTTCTCGATGTCTATATGTGTAGTTACATATGGTTTCTTTGGTCTCCACAGCACATTACTATCACTGATTATAACTCAGTGATACAGATGTGACAGGCTCGAAATTCAGTATTTACAAGATTGATTTAAATAGTACCTTGTAAGGCGTTCCCCGTTGACTATCCGAGGGGTTCCGGTTAGAATGTTGGCGCGAATGTATAGATCGACCATGTGGCCTTCCACACACACATTAGAAATGGGCATGCAGACCGCGTGAGGGAAGCTCGTCGTCATACAGTAGCCATGGCCACAATACCAAGGACAGGGGTTCACTGATGTGTGCGTGCCGAATGCGACGCTGAGCTTTCCTGGTTCACTGTTGCTGAAGTTTTGCATTCATTTGCCCCGACTAGTGTAGCACATCGTGATACTATTTGCATGTTTCTGAAATGGCAGCATTTGTTGATACATTGAACAGCGGACGTACTGAGGCGCTCTTGATGATGTCAACATTGGTTTCATGAAGATGTGGTTGCGGTTGTTACAGACAATAACTTTGGTACATGTGGTCGTACCGTTAGATCAAGCCCTGACCTGATCATCGAATAGTGTAGTCAGTGGCGTAAGTTGTGTATCAAGACAAATTTTTACGTTGATAACAGGGCTGACAGAACATGTGTACGACTTAGTGTGGGCCTGGCCGTCGTTCAGGAGATCGTTGAACGTTGAACAATGAGTTGTTGTATTTTGGCTTTTGTTTGTGACTTGTTTGGTAAGAACAATACAATCTGTTGTGATCTCAAGAGCGCTCGCTGAGATGGCGAAACTTTGATTGACCACACAGTTCTCATCATTTTTTCCTTTCAGTCCTCTGTGCTATAGTCTGTGGTTGGTCTCCTCTTTCTATATTCCATTACTCTGGCGCATGATCAAACGAATGGCTGACAAGATTGGGCAATTTGGCCAGTCTCAGAAGCAGTCTAGTCAACCAGGACTTGCGAACTTGCCTTACACTTCAATGTCTCATTCGATATCTGTTGCTGCAGACTATCATCGCGGCTCGATATCAACACAGCGAACGTCGTCCAGCGAATGGACCCAGCAGGAAAATAATCTCGAAGCCAAGACGTTTCCACTATCGCGCGTGTCGAGGCCCAAAGCATCTTACCGGCTTTCCGACTTCATAATACAACGGACCCTTGGGACGGGTTCCTTTGGCAGAGTACATTTAGGTATGTCTTTTGGAGTTATTCATTACGCCCTCATCTAATTTGGCTTTCCAGTCAGGAGCAAACACAATCTCCGCTTTTACGCCATCAAAGTGTTGAACAAAGAGAAGATTGTTCGGACGAAACAGGTCGAGCATACCAATAACGAGAAGATGATGCTTGAAGCAGTTCAACACCCTTTCATCATCAATCTTTGGGGCGCGTTTCAGGACGCTTCCAACTTATTCATGGTAATGGATTTCGTACCTGGTGGTGAACTTTTCACCCTGCTACGACGGTCGAATGTGAGTCTTTTCCAACCATCTATTTCAAAATTTTCTGATACCTTCCTGGAAGCGCTTCCCGGATCCCGTAGCCAAGTTTTACGCTGCAGAGGTCGCACTTGCTCTAAATCACCTGCACTCCCTCGACATTATATATCGTGATCTCAAGCCAGAGAACATTCTTCTCAACCATGACGGTCACATTAAAATAGCAGACTTTGGATTCTCAAAACACTGTTCATCAGTGACGTGGACATTATGCGGCACACCTGATTATCTTGCACCCGAAGTGAGCGCCTGTGATCATTTTCCAAATTTCAAGTCTGACTTCACATCACCTTCAACAGATCATAGGACAGCAACGGTACAACAAGAGTGTAGACTGGTACGCCCTGGGCGTGTTGATCTTTGAGATGCTTTCTGGACTTCCTCCTTATCACCAACCCGATCATAACCCCGTTGTACTTTACGAAAAGATCACTCGTGGTCCAGCCTTCATTCGGTGGCCATCATTCCATGAAAATGCTACAGACATAATCCGAAAATTGATGGAGGGGGAGCCCTCCAAACGATATGGAAACTTGCGGCATGGGGCAGGTGATGTTTTTGCACATCCATGGTTCCGCGAAGTCGACTGGGACAAGTTGCGGAATAGAGAGATCACTGCTCCTTACCTGCCTAAAATTGCAGGAGACGGAGATGCAAGCGCGTAAGTTTCATTCATTCTCTAATCTCGAGCTTCAAGGCTCAATTTGGTGCAGCTTTGAACAATACCCCGAGGACAACGCTGCCTCACTGTACGGAATTCCAGCTGAAGACACATGGGGACAGGATTTTCCCAATTTCGAGTATACCAGCCACTAAAAGGGACTTTGATTCAGTTATCACTACATTATTCTTTGTTTGGAACGTTGACACCATCCATTACCTGCATTTGTTGTTGTAATACCCAGACACGTCGACACCCCCTGTGCATTGTACATTGTATACCAGTTGTTCTCAGTAGAACCTCTTGTTTGTTTCTCCTTCAATCCGAGTATTGGCAACATCATCTTGGGTGTGATTTTTGGTTTTGCACCCGCTGCACAAACGTGGTCAAGTTAGTATTACAGCGTCCGTTATGCTCGCATTCCTATTTGTTCGGAACAAACATCAACATCATGTCGAAAAATGGGCTGCCATTTCCCCGAAACCTCGAACGACCAGCTAGTTCAGAATCTAGTCTCATAATTTTTCACCAGTGGGGCCGCACTCTTTTCCACTGGCCCAGAGGTCCAAGAAGCTCGTCAAACCGTTAAGAATTTGAGGAGATCGACTTGTGCGGGCGCTAAGGCTAGTGCTAGCGGGGTATATTCGTTTATGGCTGCGAAACATGCCGACAAAACATTCAAAATGGTTGGCATCGTCGAAGAAGAGCGAGAAAGGTGTTAAGGGTGGCTTGGGGAATGGGAAAAGGGAGGGTCGCGGTAGACGGAACGGGGTAACCAAGGGTGCGCAGTCGGTGTCGCAGGAGGATGTTGCTGTTGAAAGAACAACAATGCTACTTGAAAGACAGGCTGAGTTGGATCAGATTATGGACAAACATGATACGATGGTGAGTTTTTCTGTCAACAGGGGAGTTCACTGTTTCATATTCGGATTAGGTACGGGAGGTTTTTCACTTGGAGAAGTTCGTGACTCTCATTGAATATGACCCAACTGTAAGCTCTTCTGAGTCTGCACTTTTCCGGCACTTATTGTTCCTAGATTGCAAAGCAGGACAGTTCGATTGTGTTTCAGGAGGTGCGTAAGAAAGGACACTAAGATTATGACACTTACGGAACGACCTATCCTATCTTCAGTATAAGTCGAACTATGACTTGCTCGAAAAAGCCTCTACATCGGCAGGTCCATCGCGTGCTACAAGGAGGGCTCATATTGAGCGCGTTCAAAACCTTACTACACCACTTTTACCTTCCACTACCTCTCGAATGCACAACGAACCGGAAT